AAAAAACTAATGTGGACCAGGGCAATACTTTGAGTTTACAGCTTGTCCAAGGTCATTCATTATTAATACTATTAGTAATATCTTCGTTAAAGACTTTGATGGCGACAGCTCAAACATGACAGGTTGAGCTTTATTAGCTCTACCTTGCGGAAATTCCGGATGCTATTATTTTGCTTGCGGAATTATAGGAGAATTTAAGGTAACTAGCAGTATTTACCGGTAATTTGCGATAGACTGCGTAAAGCGCACCTCAAAATAATGCGGTATCGCCCACGCATTTTGAATGGCTGCATCTGTAGTAAAAGTTGCATCAGACAGAAAGCCATTAATATCTGATATTCTTTTTGGATCAGTTAATTGATTGAATGATTAAATTGTACCTCAAAAGATTCTGCTTAACTGTGTGTTTCATCTTTAAATTATGACCTTTGTTCTTTAGATCATGTTTACGTTTGAAAGAAGCTTTTGTGCTCTCAGTCTTCATGGTAGTGGTAACAAAGTGCTTTGTGGGGGTCCTAGTCATGCAGAAAATGTAAGAGGTTATTTGTGTTTTGTCTTGTCTGACCTAGTCAGTTCCATACCAGGCTCCATACCAGGCTCTGGTGCTTGCTTGGCAGGATTAGTAAAGTAGCTATGAATAAAACAGTCACATTTTGAAATCATATCTATTCAAACTTACCGACATATTGTGAACATTGTAATGCCCTGTGATTTTTAAAATGTGCTCTTTGAGAGCAGTGTTGAACTACAAGCTTTTAATATAAGTTTAAAGAATACCAATGAGACAGCATCTTCAACACTAGTTTCTAGAGATAGTGACACATTTCCTGCACTTCAGTTTACAGGTTTTACACTTTGGGGTAGTAATAGAACTGACAACTTTTCCTCTGGGATAATTCATTTCCTTTCCCTCATTACAATAACTGCATTAATGCACAATGAAACTTAATTAAAAATGAAGCAATTAAAAATGTAAACATTTAATATTTAAATATAAAAGCATACACTTGCAGTTTGTATTTAGACCTCATCACTACAAATGTAACATCTATTATTCACATTTGTTCTCTTTTCTGTGTATTTTAAGTCAAATGAGTTTAGTTCAAAAGAAAATAATACTGGTAGTTGTTATAGTATAGGGCCATCTGGTGGTTAAAGATAGATGCACATTGACAACATTTAATACACGTTATGCAATTTAGGAAAATTATAAACTTTTCTCACTTGTAGTGGAATATTCTTTATTGTAATAGTGTTGTAATTTGGAAAATTTGATCTGATGTAAGGAAATGTGCATATTGTTTTAAAGAGCACTGGAGCAAATTGTAGATGGCAGCTCTAGAACAGAACTAAAATATGTTGTTGGAGCAGAGTAAGGGTCATCTCTACTCAGATAGGTAGATGCTTCTACATTCAGGAACAGCTAGCTTATGGCCTGAAGAACATGCAGGGTCACTTGTCTTATTTTATCTGAGAACTCCGCTTGATTGAATGAATCTTTTGCCTAACTACTCAAAAAATTACTTGTTTACTTGACTAGATTCAGCCAGTCAAGATGTGAAGATTACTTACATGGTCGTGGTTCTCCAAGAAAAGAGCTCAATACTGTTAATTAAGCACCTTTCACATACAGTATACTACTAGAACAGCCACAATAAAAACTATACTTTGCTATCTGGTTGTATCTGTTTTACAGTTAGGGTACCTTAATTCTTGCAATGCAAATGATATCAAGTGTGACCAAACTGTATGTCAAAGTTAAACGTATTCATTCTGTAACACACTTGCATCAGGAGAGCCTAAAATTCTTGTACTGTTTGATTAATGTAGCAGTTATTCATGTGCAGCATTTTATGAACATGAGAAAACTTTGATTGAAAAGACCTTTTAACTTAACATGCTGTTTCCTTCTAAGATAACAATTGTGTCTCAGCGTCAGGTTCAGCGATTGTGAATTGAAAGATAAAAAGATTGAACAGTGTACTTCCAAATGTAGCTTAATGATTTATAATGAGAATTTATCTTTCCCATGGTTAAAAGTGTTTCATACCGTCAGAGTGTAACAGACCATCATGTCTTGCTCTCTCAACTTAATTTGAAATAGTTACTAGGGTCACATTCATTTAGGTTCACATTCCTTTTAAATTTTTGTAAAGCTTAGTCTGATCTGGTTGTACTCGACGTTTAGAAAGATTGGAAAGACCAAAGGTAAATTTTGGTACAACACAAAAATCAAACCTATATCATTTCAATTTGCAGTTTTCTAATATATAAGGTCATTGTATAATAACTGTAGGATCCAAAACACTTCTGTAATGCCACATACTGCCAATCTTAAAATAACAGTTCTCTCAGCAGAGCCTCATGAGCCAGAAATGATGCCTTCTGCTACCACGAGTAGGAGATGTGCCTCTCCTGATGTATTCTGACGCATCATGGCCATTACAGCATCTGTACACACTTAAACATTTGTGGGGAAACAGCATAAGCTTTGTACTGTGAACAATACAGGGCCAACACTGTCTTGCACAATGCAGTAGCTAGGCAGCAATATTTTGCATTATACTCTAGATTTTAAACATCCATATTCAAGACTGTGTAATAGATTTTACCTAAGCTGTATGTGTTTAGTTGGCCTGATATTAAAAGCATTTTCAGTTTTGAATATAGAGCCCAGTATGTTTAATAATGTGAGTAAATAAAACAGATGAAAAAAATAACTGCAGGTCATTTAGACAATGCGTTATGGTACAGTTGTTATTGGGAACTCCATATTATACCAAAAAATGATCTCATAACACAGCATAATGCAAATAGCATTAACAACAATTTAGTCATTTTTCACAACATAAAACAGTATGTAGGTTAGGATACAATGCACTGACTTTCTTTTTAGTTAACAGTTTTATTTACAGCATATACACAAACAACACGTGGAGTTTAGAAGTATATTTTCACCATGCAATAACATTTAAGCCCTTCCATTCTGGTTGAAAACTTGCAAAACTGATATATTTAATAAATGCTCAGCATCCAGAGTTGGTACGTGAGGAGTTTTTTTTTGTGACAAGAGCATGTGATATTTAATACGTATTGTGGAAAGATACTCTACAATTTATAGTTCTAGAAGCAAATTAGTTTTTAAGGGCATGTTTGGACAGGCTCTCAGATCTAATTTTTATATTATATATTTATATGAAACATGCAACTTTCCTACAAGAAATAAAAGTGTTGGTCTGTAATCACAAACTCCTATTTTAAACTATGTATTGAAGAAACAAAAACAGGTGTGATGATGTATGCTGTAGAGGCACTTTTTTTTTCCTTAGCATGTTAATGTGGCCTGCTGTATTACAGAAGACAGTTTTTTTTTGTATTGGTAAAAGTCTGATACTTGAGTTATTTTCGCATGGATGTTTTAGTGTACCCACTAGTACTGCAATGGGCATGAAATGTCTGAATAAATCAGTATACCGGTATATGTCTTGTTTATGGCTCAGGAGGCTGCACTGAGAAGACTCATTTTTTTTTAATGGGCAGTGCAACAGTATGGGGATGTTTTGGAACAAATGCTTATAAAATGACCTAATACATTTGGAACTGCTATTTGGTATGACTTATACATGATTGTTGTTTTGCAGTGAATTTCTCTTTAGGTTCCTTCATTCCATCCTCATAAATCATGTTCATATTCCCTGAGTTTGGTTTTGATCCTCTGATTTGGAAAACTTAAGGCTTTTATGTCTTTTTATAATATGCAGACCGTGATTGTTTTGCAGTATTTTGGTTTTCCCATCCTGGTCAGTTTATTCTCTGTGTGTATGAGAAACATGTTGAGTTAGTTTGGTGTTTAGACTGAAGAATTTATTTTTTTCCTGCTTTAGTTACTGGCAATGCTGCTGAAGAAGAAACGTTCCCTTCTGAACAGCCATATTCTTCACCTCACCTTTTCCCTAGTGGGCACAGTTGACAGTGGTCACGAAACTTCCATCATTCCCAATTCCACAGCTTTTCAGGACCTGCTCTGTGACTTTGAGGTGGGGTTCTCCATATGCGATTCAGGCTTTTTCTACACAGAAGTAAGAGGGACCATACTGCATATACACATATTAGTGAAGAGTGATGGTTTTGCAGCTCATCATATGTTTGTTTATAGGAATATTACGATCAAATAACTAACTAGCCAGTTGTGTCCAATTCAGTGTTTATGGATACAAATCTTAAATTCATGAATGTTTGTTAAAACATACTTTTGAAAAGGATATGCACCTTAAATATATTGATACACATTAAATGCATTTTGTGAAAAGTTATTCTCAATCTCAGTTACTGTATATCGTATCAGTCTCTGATTTCTCATTTGCTTAGTTTTATATCTGTTTATCTCACAGGTCTGGCTTCATGCTCCGTATGAACTGCATCTGTCGTTGTTTGAGCATTTCATTGAACTCTTAACTGAGTCAAGGTGGGTATCTCAATAGGTGTTTTGATTTTTTAAATGCTTATTTTATATTTGTATTTTATGGTTCTAAGTCTGAGCATACTCTGCTATTTGTAATTACGGTGAAGTTGAATATTAATAGAATTTATATTTTGAACATCCTACAGATTAGTTAGTTTAATACAGAGTTAAATTACAATACATATGCTGACATAATTATTGCCTTCATAATGTGACTCCAATTATCTTGCTCTTATTATATTATTATTAATATTATATTATTATAAATAAATATAACCTTGTCAGGGAATTGTACATGAAAGAAAAGCCAGTAAAAAAGATAAATAGAATCTCATACTTTGTAGAATCTTGTCATTGTTTGATAGCATTTTGACCATGGTACACTTGTGTGACTTTGACTTTTGCATAGTCACTAAATAATCATTAGTTGATTGGATCCAGGTTCTATGATTTAACTAGTTAAATATCAAGCCTGGCACAAATCAAAGAGTAAAAACACACTGAACAAAGTTTAAAGAAAGGGACCAGAATGTCCCACTTAGCAAGAGAACACTGCCTTCATACTGTTCATGCTGCTCGCATAGTGTTTTAACGCAGCTAGTAATCTCTGGTTTCTTGTAGTCTCCAAAAAATATCCAATTCTAAAGACTATGGCAACATATAACATGAGTTCCTCAACATCTTAATAATTTCTTTAATTGTTTCCAACAATGTAGCACAGATACCAGTTCAATACATCCCATAAGTATTTAACTGGTTAATTAAATAATATTTCTATTACACAGTGTTTCTGTCACATACTTTCTTAAATTCAATTCTCATGTTGTGTGCTAGCAGCAGATTAAATTGCATTCCACACCATATCTTTGTTGTGAAGTTGTTTTATGGGCTTAGAGCGCTTCTATAATATTTTTAAGCAGTCAATTTTTTAAATGAATCCTGAAATAAAAGTTTCACTGTTTACTTGGCCCATGACATCATTAGGTTCTTGTCCAGTTCAGGCACAGGGTTTGAAATGTCAGCACAGGGAAACTAGTCTGAGTTGGACTGACCAGCACCCCTACAATATTCTAATAGTTTTTGGTGGGAGTGGTGGGCTGGAGAGGTACATTGTAACATTTACTTTAAGGGGTGTGTAAAGCCCCAAACACGGCCCTACTGGATGTTAGCAAGTGTGGCATTGATCTGTCAATGTCCTAATTGACTAGTATCTGGAGAGGTTCATGTGTTGTGGTCTGGGCAAGGGTGTGTAGTTGTAACAGTTATTTTGACAGAATCCTACAGTACAGCACCGGCAACCTGGTGCAAGGTATATATTGCAGATGTACAAATTGTATTTATTACAACGTTAGCCACACACTACCATTATTATAATAATCCATAAACTAATTCAATAATGGGGACTTCCTTCTACCACTATCAATGTGAAACATCCACCTGGGTGAAGCAATGGCACCACTCATGACCCATCAGCTATCAGTGAAGCCTACTGATAGATGGAGATTATTAGAAGGTCTGCTAACACCTCTTCCAGTAGCAACCTTAGCTTTCCCAGAAGGTGTCTTAGGTACTGGCCAGGCTCACACCTGCTTAGTTTCAGTGGGTTGCCAGTTGTGAGTTGTGAGTTGCGAGGTGATATAGCTTTTGTGTACTATTATAGATTAAGGCATTGAAAAAATACTTTTTTGAATATAGATTGCCCTCCTACCTTCTGGGAAAAGATATTGCAGTTTACGGGCTAGCTCGACCAGACTCTGTAACAGGTTCTTCCCACAGGCGGTCAGGCTCCTCAACACCACGGAATCTACTCGCACCCACCCCAATTCCAGAAACAGGCTTTAAATCCCTCCAGTGTATTGTGTATATTGTACTATGTATTGCCTTGTAATTTGCACCATCTGGACTTTGCACTATGTGTATCCTATCAACAATATCTATGTCAGTTTCCTGTCTGTATTTGCACATTGGACCAGGACGAACGATATTTCGTTCCTCTGTGTACTTATGAATGCCTAGAATGACAAATAAATGTGAACTTGAACTATTACCCAGTAGTCCCCGTGTTGATCAGCCTGTTGTTGAAATACAACTATGACATGCCTTTTTAATAAAATATCACAAAGACACATACCCGCTTCAAACAAGCTATTTTCATTTTCCTAATAACTTTGTAAATGTGCAGCTATAAGTAATAGGCTTATTTTCAATATTCAGTGTTTGCCATATAATTTTGTTCCCTCAGTGAGGCAGCTAAAAATGCCAAGTTAATGAGAGAGTTCCAGCTCATTCCCAAGTTGCTGCTGACCCTTCGAGATACTTCTCTCTCCCAGCCTACTATAGCTGCGATCAGCAATGTCCTCAGTCTCCTTCTACAGGGCTTCCCAAACAGCTATGATCTTCTCAGGTAAACCATACCATGCTCTAACATAACAAACCCAGTGCTATTCTAATGTTCTTGATTGTAGTTTGTATCTGGCATTATTTTAGCGAGTGCCATGTTTCAGATTTGTTACTGGATAATGTCTGGTTTTGGTGTTATTCATAGATTAAGGCTTTAAAAAATACTTTTTTCAATTGAAGTAATACATTTTCCAGTGATGCAGTGTTGTCGACACTTTGTACAAAATGTGACTGGTCCATGCTTTTTCAAGGGTGACAGTAGCATTGTTGTACATCTGTGCTTATACAGGTTTGGCCAGTTCATTTCCTCCACTCTGCCCACTTTTGCTGTCTGTGAGAAATTTGTGGTCATGGAGGTCAACAATGAAGAGAAAATAGATGGAGGTAGGCATTTAAGAGTTCTGAAAAGTGTACACTTATATACCAACATAAAATGAATATCAAATTTAAGATTTAATATTTCCAAATATTATTAAGATGATTTGTTAAATCCCTTAGGTAATGTATGTCTAGATTTAATAATTGTTAATTACTTTGTGTAGCATTATTCTATCAATTCACACAAAGATCTGTGAACTGACAATTCAGATTAATCACCATCTCAGTATGCCACATTTACCATTTGTGTCACTGATAAAAGCTAATGTCCTCACTGCTGTACCTACCACTGAATATATTCATATTCAATAAAATATACATAATCAATGTAGAACTTACTTTTTAACCATTCCAAAATAATAAAAAGAGTTCTTTGCAAATGTAGTTTTTCTTTTTTGCCATTAGGAAATGAAGATGATTTTGGAGGCCTACTTTCTGCCAGCCTTATCTTGTTAAGAAATAGGCTCCTTGACATTTTACTCAAACTGCTCTTCATTTGCAAAGAGAAGTCTACTGTTAATATACAGTAAGTGAGCTCTTAAATCCAGTAGTGTTATGAAACTTTTGGTCAACGATACAATGACAGGACAAGAAAAGGCTGGTGTAATTGTGTTTACTTGTAGTATTTGTTAATTATAGACGTGAAAATAGCTAAATATGTTGCTTAGAATGCCAGTAGACTGTGGTAAATTGTGAATTAAGATGAATGTGAAGATATAAACTAAAGATTTTATAGACACTTGCTCATATCTTCAAAGTGAAATCTTTAGAAGATTACTATATCGGTTACCATAAGACTTAATTGTTTGGCCAATTGATTGAATTGATTTATTGATAGCCAGGGGTTTTCCTTCCTATAGTGTCTCCAAAACTTTACAAGGCATGGAGTGTCTAAAAATATATTTGTGAGCAGGTCACATCAATCTGGCACAATACCCCTCTCTGTGTTTTCTGTGCAGAGCATGTGAGGAGCTGGTAAAGACACTTGGGTTCGACTGGCTTCTGATGTTCATGGAGGAGCACCTGCACTCCACTACTGTTACTGCTGCCATGAGGATTTTGGTAGTCCTGCTCAGCAACCAGACTATTCTATCACGCTTCAAAGAAGGTCTGTCTGGGGGTGGATGGCTGGACCAGACTGACTCAGTCCTCACCAACAAAATTGGCACAGTGCTAGGTAAGCACAGATCATTTATTGCTTAATGACTTCATATTAATGCTTTTAAGTCTTTTACCTCTTTGAATTCTCTGATATTTGAACAACACAAGCAGACATTTTCCTTTTTAAATACAGTGTGTACTAAATCATTCTTAACTAAAGATGTTGCCACACAGAACACGCTGTAGAACTCATTGCCATGTTAGACTCATTGCCATGATCAATAGGTGGCACTTATGGTGTGTTAGATGGTGAAGTCATTAGCCTTATTTAATTTGTAAATGGAGGAGAAATATTATTCCCAAAGTCCAGTAGCTGAAAATCGCACCCAAGCATGTAACCAAGTAGTGATGAGCATGAGAAATTTTGGTAGCTGAAAATAAGAATTGTTTCTAAATGTCATTAACAACATTAATTTATGGATACAAATATATGTATATAGCTGGTAGTGGTAGATTATTCCACTTATTTTGTAAACATTTGCATTAGTTTAGATATGTTTGTTTAAACTACATTTTGCTGTTGTTATTGTTGTAATGGAAAATAAAATGCTCATAGTTTGTAATGATGCTTACCCAAAATGAGTAATGCCTTGGTACAATGGTAAAGTGCTTGTATACCACCTGGGAGGTTCCAGGTTCGATTCTGGACAGGGCATACGTTTATTTTTAACAAATATAGACTGCTTCTCTAAAAAGAAAATTGGAAATAATATGTATACCGTATTGACATTTTTACTCATTCTACATCCCAGGATGTTAAATAGTGAAATAATATAATTAGTTAATTAGTAATAAAAATGAACATTAATGTGTTAGCAAACGTGAATACTGTCAATGGCAGGAGTAAAAAAACAGTTCTACCACTTTCCAGCAACCCTTAAAACAAAAATTGATGTTTGTGATTGTGTATATTTTCTTTAAATTACTTCTTGTAAAGACACTATGTATAATATTTGTTTTATAATTAGAATCTAGAATAACAAAATGGTATTAAAAAGAAAAATAAACTACAGACATTTAAAATTAGTGGTGTTATGAAACAATCACCAATCTTAAAGATTTGATTTGCCTTTTTAAGAAAATGTAATTGTTTGCTAATTTTCCCTTTTTAAGGCTAAAAAAGCAACTTGTGGATTTTGGAGACAGATTTATTTTACTCTTCACACAAATTCACAGTAAAAACTAATAGGTGAGAATTCTACCACAGAGCCAAAAGTCCAAACACACCGTATTAAGCATTCAGTGTGCCACCTGTACTATTTTACAAAATAGTTAATTACTGCATAAGATTATTTGTAAATATAAAAATATTTATAAGATTCTTTAAAGGAAGGTGGCAGCCTTCAATTGACTTCATATTTTGTAGTGTATAAAGTCCAAAGCTAAAACCACAGAAGTGAATATAAATTAAAAGGTAGAAACACGGCAGTACAAAGGGTTTTGATACAGTGCCAACAAAATTTGTCAGCTCCCAATATAATTAAGTGAATTACAATTTCTTACCACTATACATGATAGTATGCTTAATTAAAGTATTTTCTCAAATTATTAAGAGGCTTTATAAGTAGCAGAATATAGCTAATTAAATTGCCTATGTTACTTTGTATAACATCTTTTATTAAGATTTTCATGAAGATCTAATTACAATTTGTCAAAAGTATGCAATAATACAGGCCATCCAAGAGAGTGACAGACTTTTTCTTGGTTGTTGATCTTGTGCCTTTTGCTCCCCAGGTTTCAATGTGGGCAGAAGTGCTGGAGGCCGGTCAACAGTGAGGGAGATTAATCGGGATGCCTGTCACTTCCCTGGGTTCCCTGTGCTCCAGACCTTCCTGCCCAAACACACCAATGTGCCAGACCTCTACTTCTTGCTCATGGCCCTGTTTCTGCAGCAGCCTGTCACTGAGCTACCCGAGAACCTGCAGGTAAATGTTAGTACCATACCTTTCATTCTAACAAAAATGTCACAATACCAATTGTATTATTATTCCAATTGATTATTCTAACTAATTTCAAGTACGTCCACATACTGTATTTAAGGTGCTATGCAAAAGTATTTAGACCCTTGCAGTTTTTCACAGTTGTTTTTTTAAAGCTAGCAGTCATGACAATTGGAAGTAGCAATTGATATGTGTTAAATGCACAGCCTTCTGCATACATTTAAAGGAAAACACACAAAAAAGTAGTAAATACAGTCATGTGAAAAAGAAAGTACACCCTCTTTAAATTCAATGGTTTTACATATCAGGGCATAAATAACAATCATCTGGTCCTCACCAACTTTTATAATTAGATAAATCTATCCTCAGATAACAGACAACACATAACAGATTTCACTATGTCATTATTTATTCAGCAAAAAGTGAGCCAAAATGCAAAAATGAAGTACACCCTTACTTCTTCCATAGGAATTAAGAAGGTAATTGGCAGCCAGGTGGTGCTTATCAAATGCACTTAGTTGGTCATCAGGAAGTGTGACCACCTCTATAAAAGCAGAGTTTTTGGCAGTTTGGTGGTCTGGAGCATTCAGATGTGTGTTAAAACCATACCAAGGAGAAAAGACATCAGCAATTAATTTAGGGAAGCAATTGTTGCTGCTCATCAATCTGGGAAGGGTTATAAGGCCATTTCCAAAGAAATTGAAATCCAAAATTCTGCAGTGAGAAGGATTATTTACAAATGGAGAACATTTAAGACAGTTGCCAATCTTCATATTGAACCTATCACTCACGTTGATTCATATATGTACTTAGGAGTACACATAGACGGTAACCTGTGCTGGATTACTCATGTTGAGAGTGTTTGCTCCAAAGTTCAGCAGCTCTTATATTTCTTGCGAAGACTAAGAGTGTTTGGGGTTTGACAGGAAATAATGCTACTCTTTTACTATACTGTAATTGAGATCATTATCAGATATGGTATAACAGTGTGGTTTGGTAATTTAGCAGTTCATTTAAGATCTCAAATTACCAGTCTCATCCAAACAGCTTTGAAGGTCATGGGAGTGAAACAGCACCCCTCCCTGCAGACAATCTTTGAAAAAGCCGTATTCAAACAGGCAGAAAAAATTATATCAGATCCTTCCCACATCCTAAATTCTGAATATCAACTTCTTTCTGGCAAACATTTAAGGGTTCCCAAATGTAAGTCAAACAGATACAAATGTTCCTTATAACAATACTTATACTTATAACAATACATACTGTATGTTGTAAAGTTAAAAGGCCAGTGAAAGTTTGAGGTGAGTTTAATTTGTGATGGAAATGGTAATTTCCAGAGAACACTGGGAGCAGAAACACAAAAGGTTCATCCCCTAAAATGTCCCAAATTCCAACAGTGTTCCCAGCAAGTTTTATAGTCAAAAGTTCAGATATGGTCACCCTATATTATTACCATGGTTTTTTTTTCGAGTAGCTATTCCACTTATAGCCCAATGACTGTTCCTGATAATGTTATCCCCCATCTTTCAGGTATTCCTGAGATGTCACATACAACATGAAGTGCCTGTTTAAAACTCAGTCAAGCCAGTTTAGGATTGATGGACATACTCTAATGTTCATTTTCTGCACTTTACAATAATTTATTTTTTTTATAAATACCATTTTTTTATTTCAGAGTTGAACTGTCATATGTAAAAAACATCAGCAGGTAACCAGGTGTGTTAAAATGATTTTCATTTGCAGTTTGATCTGGACTCAATCTGGACCTTTATCTTCGGAGTTCCAGCCTCCAGTGGGGCTGTGGTGGGATCCATTCACAATGTCTGCACAGAGGCTGCCTTTCTTCTGCTTGCAATGCTCAGGAGTATGCTCAATTTAGTAAGTCTGGACATTCACAAATCCTTGTTGAGAAAGTGCCCCAACAAAGGAACATTAACTGCCCAGTACTGTAGTGCAGTAAAATACTTAATTGCATAAGGTTGTTAATAGGTGAATGTTTGTGTTCTTTACTTAATGTTAGTTTTGATTAATCATTCTTTCTTAATTTTCTACGATATCACTACCCAACGGCGCCTTTTACATCTTTTCTCACTGCTGTCACACCAAGTCTGCAAGCACCTGAGGAGTCGCAGGGGTCACTGATTCATTTAGAGCTGAGAGAACCCTATCAGACTATTCCCAATCCTACGCTTTTTGGTGCTGAACCAATTATGTACTGCTGTTTTGGGAATCCTGGTCATAGCCAGCAACTAGCATTGCCTAGGTTCAGACTGATGACATCTTGATCACAGAGCCCAACCTACACTTAAAGCAAGTGCTTTTACCATTTGAGCCACTGAGGAGGCCTACATTTGTCTTTCTTGATAATTTGGAGCTATCTTTCTATCATGAAAGAAAAATGTTGATGCCTCCTATTATCTCTTTAGAAGTGGGGTAATGGCGTTGATCAGCAGACAGAACCATAATGATGCTGTATGAGCAAATTTCAGCATAATTCATAAAAAAACTAGCAATTGCATATTGGAATATGTGGCTTTTAACTAAAAGGTTAGAAATACCTTTTAATTGAAATATTTTATTAACTAGATTAATGAATGAGTTGCAAATTTGAGATTTGTGTATTTTGTGGGACTGAGAAATTAAATTAATTTTTTTGTCTTACAGCCATGGCAGTCAGAGGAGGAGGGCTCATGGCTTAGAGAATACCCTGTGACTTTGATGCAGTTCTTTCGGTACCTTTATCATAATGTGCCAGATTTAGCTCCGATGTGGATCAGCCCAGAATTCCTCTGTGCATTGGCAGCGACTGTCTTTCCGTTCAATATCAGACCGTACTCAGAGATGGTATGTTATCCTTTAAGAAGATGATATAATTAGAAGTGCTTTGTTCCTATGTATTCAAATTAATGGTGCTTTAAAACTCACGGAAGAGGAAACATATTGCATGCACTAGTTGCTAAAAAGCAGTTTCTTGTACAGGTTGTTCAGAGTATCTGTTATTTTCTGATAAAATCTTTCATAATTCAGACCCTAAAAAAAACAATCATAGAGTCTGGTTATATACAGTAGCTGCTGTCATATGTTTTTTATAACCAAAATAAGCTTAGCATGAAGTTATGGTAAATGCTTTGATTGTAATTATTTATTTTGTCACGTTTTCAGTGTTTCCAGTGTGTGTTGTGTTTTCAGTTGTGTTAAAGCAGCTGTGTTTGTGCAAATCTACAAAGTTTGTGTTTCTGCAGGTGAGCGACCTGGACGATGAAGTTGGCTCTCCAGCTGAAGAGTTTAAAGCCTTTGCTGTCGACACTGGCATGAACAGGAGCCAGTCTGAATACTGCAATGTTGGCTCCAAAACCTACCTGACCAATCATCCGGCTAAGAAATATGTCTTTGATTTCATGAGGGTGCTGATCATGGAGAACTTGTGCATGACCCCGGCCAGTAAACAGACTCCGATTATTGACCTGCTTCTGGAGGTAAACTGTCAGTTTTGTACTCCTTCAGTTTACGTCTCATTGACATTCTGTTATAGCTCTACGTACATTGAGTTTGGAAAATTATAAGGAGATAATTAAAACAATTTTTGAATGACTATAATTATTTTTCTATTTTTAAATAATGCATGTAACTACCTAATATTGATTATCAGTGTATGGACGTCCTTTCAAATGACAATTAAATATTATACATCCCTGTTAACATTCAGGAATTATATTGCCTTGCAAAAATATTCCCCCTCTTTCAACCCATTTTGTTTAATTACTGCTTATCTATCCTGTTATGGTTATTGGTAGCTGCTATTGAGGTCTCTCAAGAATCTAGGGACAATAGTCAAGCATCTAGCTAGTGTCAACATTTGTAATTCTCAGGAGCTTCAGAAAAAGATAAGAACGAAAGTGTTTACTTTATTCTGAGACAAACCGATCAAAGGAATTTCTGGTTTACCTTGGTTAACTAAACGGTTATAGGATTACTTTTTGGAATTGGTGGATAGGTTTCCAATACACCTTTTAGCATCTGGGTTTATATATAGAGATACTTAACTCTAAGTGGTATTCTGTTTGGTATGTGAAGCTTGTTTTTCTCTATTTTTGTGCCTTAGACTTCATATAGATTTTAATACTTGGTATTCTGTTGTTGGTCAGGGTGTTGGCAGTCGAGATAACGTGTTTGTAAATAGTGTGACGTGTAAGTTATATGTGTATGTCAGTGTTGTTTAGTTTGTGTTGTTTTTTTAACCAAGGCCGTGCCAGAAAATAACTCAGGTGCCTCTAATTATATCACTGTTTAGATATTTTCTTGGCAAAATCTTAATTTGGGTGTTATGATTATTAATTTTACTTAATGATCAACCCTCTTGGTCTGTTTTTGGTAATTCTCTACTTTCATAATCTGTATTTTTAACAATGCACATTGTCACTCAGTAATTAAAACTTGAATGGTCAAATGTAACACTTTTATGTAAATGTCATAAGTCAACAATATCCTTGTCACTCCATGATGCTGGCCTGTATTGCAGAATGGCAAAGCCCATCTGTGCCAGTCACGGCCATTTGATGTCTTGGAAGGATTATGTTGCAAGGATGCTTCTCATCTACAGGAACAGAGAAGTTGAGAGGAAAATGGAAGGAGCAAGTTACAGACAAATTTGAGAGAAACAATGCACTCTGCTAAACACTTAGAACTTGTAATGACACAGCTGATTACTGGGTGTGAGTCACATCAGTAATAAGGCTGAAGAATCCAAGTTCCAGAGCCGGGATGAATGAGAGGCAATTGAAGTGGTAGATGGAGAAATGACAGGCTGCAGCTAGAACAGATGGAGCTCAGGTTGTACAGAGGTGGCAGTGACCCGGCTGGAGCAAGTGCAGCATGCTGATTAAGGGATTCATCAGAGTCAAAGTCAGAGTTTGGTAACAGATAATCAGAAAATAATATCAGGACAAAGGGAAGATCTAAAGACTAAGTCAAGAATGCAGGTGGAAAGTCAGTAATGCAGGAAGGACTCAATGACAGACTGAAGCACTGTAAGCTGGTAAACTGACTTAATGTCAGAGCACCAAATGCAACCTGGATTACATATCCTTGATATAAACCTGGTAGTTAACCAGGGGCCAATGATGAGGGTTGGCTGATGATGAGCTGGCTGGAGTTCAGCTGACAATGGGCATCGCATATCGGAATGTGGTTCATTGCCATGGTAGTAGACGACTGCAAACCCGGGTTTACTGCAGTGAGAGAGAACTGGGACAGGGTAATCACTGAAAGCACAAGGTCAAAGTTACAATGAAGGTGACTTAACAGAAGAAAGTGAATATTTTAAGTAGCCCTGTCAAAGTTATGACTTGAATGAGATCAGGCCCATTGTTTGTTCATCAACAATCTCCAACAAACTTGACCAAGCTTGAGCAAGTTTGCAAAGAAAACACCAAGTGTTGCACCATGTGTGAGGAGTTGGTAGGTACTTACCCAAAAAGATGTGAGGCTATAATTGCTGCCAAAGGTGCTTCTACTAATTATTGACTCGGGTTTGAGGGGTACTTATGCAATCAACGTATTTTAGTTTTTCGTTTTTTTTATGTTTGGGAGCAATTTTTGCTAATATTTCACCCATAGTTTAGATGAAAAAAATTCACTGTAAAAATGTGTAAACTTTATTTGCAGTTCAACCAAATGGGTGTTCATTGGAATGGGGTGAATGCTTTTGCAATTTATTGTATTACATGTTACAGCATATTACTTTTAAAATGTATCTATAAGATGCAGTTTTTTTGGAAACTCTGTCATGCAAGTTGCCAAATCTAATTGTCTAATAAAATAAGGACAGTTGTAGAATTGGTGTTTATTGAGCAAGTGGAAGATTCAGCAATATTTCTGTGTTTTTGAAGGCTTCTCCAGAAAGATCAACAAGAACCCAACAGAAGGAGTTTCAGTCTTATATCCTGGACAGTGTTATGGAGCACCTTCTTGCAGCTGATGTCTTGTTAGGTAAGTCTATGGCTGGACAGACACTTATTTATTAACAAATACCTTGTTAAAAAGTATTTAAGTAATCAGCATGAGAAGCTATGACCAGAAATAACCATGATATTGTGTTTTTTAACAATCATAACCATTTTCCAAATTTACTTTAGAAAGGATGGCTTCTTAATGGTGTAGTTTGTTTAATGGAAGCTTTTTGAATAGAAAAAAAAAAACATGGAAAAAAACTGTCGTTTAACAGTCCTGCACTTTCAAGAAAGCCTTTACAATATGTGATGAAATATGTTGGTATGGGTTGAAATAACTGTAGCAGCAAAATGCTATCCATGTTATGACATATTATCAAATTATTTAATAGCATGACAAGTTAACATACCAGAATAACTTTAAATAGAGACAGAAAATATAGTTTCTGTTTCATACAGCCTCTTACACATGTTATTACAATGAGGAATATAAAAAAACAGTGTGGCTTCTGCTAATTTGTGGTTATTCAGTCGCTGTTTTCCAAACGTAGATTTTGAGTAGTGTTTCACCTGAGAGACCTCAGCTAAGTGTTCCCATTGCTCAGACCTGAATTATTTGCTTGTAAATATGTATAAAATTTAGATCAAATTATATTTAACATTCTTCTCTTGTTTAGTATTTTCTTTAGTAGACCCATACCTAATTATACAGGCATTGCAAATCACTGGTATCAGGCCTATGCAAAGACTGAAAGGCTGTTTCTTGTAGAAAAACTGTGTGGTGGATTCAGATCCTCATCATTCATTCAGGGTTTACTGTTTATGTAATGTACATATCTCTAATTATCTGTAAAAGTTAGAACTGGAGATTGAACAGAGATTTATGGAAACAGTAAAATGTTCTCTTTTGTTATCATCGCTTGCTTTACCAGTTACGAGAGGCTAAAGTTATTGTGGTATTTACAGTATATAGACTTAGTGCTCTGTCTGACCTCCCTAATGTTTTAGTCTTTCATGAATGTGATGTGAAGTTTGTCTGTTTAATTACTTGTTTTTTCAGGAGAAGATGCATCACTGCCTATCACAAGTGGTGGCAGTTACCATGTCCTGGTGAACAACGTGTTCTATTTTACCCAGCGTGTGGTGGACAAGCTGTGGCAAGGGATGTTTAACAAGGAGTCCAAGCTGGTGGTGGAGTTTATCATCCAGCTCATTGGGCAGGTAGGTTGAGGTCTGGTTTTGGAATGCCTGGGGCTACGTTCATTTCCTGAAATTTTCTTAAAGAATAATGATAAGAAAAATGGCATTGGGTTGCTGCGTTTGTTCTTTTTTTATTGTTATACTGTATGTAGAAAACGCAATATTTTTCTTAGCAAAATATATGATAAACAGACGGGTACTGTTAAAAATAATCAGTGTTTATTAGGCATACCATCTGTTTTGTCATTTTCCATTACAAAGAAATTTCTATTACTTTTTGATATTTCCTTAAGTATACACATTCTGCCACAGGACAACTAAATTTCTTGACTTTTCTACTGATTCTTCAGCTTTAAAATACCAAATCTTCAGCTGTAAGCCATTTGGTGTGGACTCATCTGTAAACAAATACCTCACGTTTTATACCGCAGAGAATATCCCAGCATGTTCTAGTTTTCATTTTTTCATAAACTAATAAGTGACAGATTTATTTAATCAGGCACAAGCCTCCCACTGATAAGCAAATTTGTTTAATTCAGTAGGCTTAGCTGTATACTGCAATTGCATAGAAATTAAGCAAATGTGATAATGTAATTTGAAACTGAAAAAATAGAACAGACTGTCAGTTTTCACTGGTGATTATAGAAGTAAATGTAATTGTTTTTACCTTTGTGTAAAGTGTAATGGAGCTTTAAACTAAATCATTAACATAATAGTAGTTTGTTTTACATGTTGGATAAGTCTATAACACCTTGAAACTCTCATAACCACTCAAACTAGTCTCAGCTTGACTTAGAGGAATCGGCAGATTTTTGTTTGCTCTGAAAAAACAAATACATAGCATGGTTTTCTGAATGTTAAATAAGAAGTTTAACGTGACAGTTCAAGAAATTATGTATGTTCAGCTATGTATGTATGCAGTTTGATTAAACTAAGTAAGTAAACAAGTGTAATTGAACATTACATTTAAAATTAATATACATCAGATAGGATGCTGTTGTACTAATGGATGGGTTTAAAATCCTTCTTTTATTATGATGCACCAGCTGTCTTTGTAATACCAAGAAGCCCATGTATATTAGTGTTCCTGAAAATATTGTTGCACGTAAGGAGTTCATTGTGTATCATTTAAACCAGTTCAGCAGTTCTTATTTTTTCATATGAGTCAGACAATAAGCAGGTCACCATAGCATATGATTTACCTAAAGTACACAAGCTCTGTGATGATGTACGGACAGCAGATGAACAGTGATGTTTCAGTATGTTAAAGTAGCTGAGATTCATGCTATCCTGGCATGATTCTGAGTAAATGCCAAAGCAAGACCAAAGCCTACTTGTCACACCCAGTCAGCCTAGAGCACACAGTCCTCAGTAGCCCCAGGAAACAGCAACATTCTCACGGGGAATTGCAATCAGACACACTCAGGTCATTTATCAATACGTCCCATGTTCTAGCAATGCTCCAATCAGTCCTCCTAATTATTCTATTCTCCATTTAATACTGTTTACGCCTCTTGATGATTGTGTGAGCCCTTTTTCAGGAAGCGCTTCACTCTGTCTCTGCTCAGAGAAACATCTCAGCCTGAAGGCCAGAAAACTTGAATCAGAAACCTGAAACCTGATCTATCAGAAACCAGCATCAAGCACCAGTCCAGTGGTGTCTTCCTACAGCTCCCAGTTTATTCAGATTGATGCTGTTTCATTTTAAAGTCAGTGGACGCCAGTAGTGCTGCATTCCTTCATCGTGCTGCATTCCTACAAAATGTCTCAATACTTGGTAGATGTCAGCCAGGAAGATCTCTTAGACAGGTTTGTGTAGGCAATAAGAAAAGCTCCATAATTTTTTTTCCGGGAACCAAGGTCACATGCTGGATATTCAGCTGAAAGGTCAGAATAACGTACTCACTATGGAGTTCTTCAATCATACAAAGTGGAAATCAGTGTGCAAAAGATTAGCTCTCGCATCCAAGACTATAAACTCCTGCTGCTGTCATTTGACATACCATTCTACATAAATCCTTTGAGTTGTCTATTAACAGTCCAAGAGAAAGCAGCTTAAAGTCTTTCTCCTTAATACCTAATGTACATGAAAGAAGTACAACTCTGGTCCAGGGGATTGTTACTTGTATTTTATATCCACTCAAGTCATAACTACCTAATTAATTGATTGCCATGTAATTTGCCCCTTTCTGCTCACCAGTCTCTGTAATGACTCATTTAATGCGATGTAGGAGCAAATAACTTCAGATTGTGCAGCAGCCATTTTACTTCAGAAATGTTCCAATGTGATGTGTATGCACAGTTAACAAGTAAGTTCCATTTTTCGGCAAATCTGGTTCGAGAACAATATTTCTAACGGATTAAAAGATATGTATTCACAAACCTGCTTCTTTACAGTGTAACAGGGCCACATCATGTTATTGGAAGGTTTGTTGCCTAATTCTGAATTTGAAAATATGGTGCTGCACACACCTGAACTCATCAATGCCAATTCTTTCTAACCCCAAAGTATAAAAATAGTGTTGCAGTTCCCCACTTTATTATAGACATTTTAATTAGTTGAATATTGGTTTCAGTTCCCCTAACCCTACTTTTAAGGTCTTATAGGAAAAGTAGGGTTAGGGGAACTGAAACCAATATTCAACTAATTAAAATGTCTATAATAAAGTGAAACAATGCCATCAGAGTAAGTAAAATAATATATTCTGGAAATCATATTGTATAGTTTTTAAATTAGTTTCTGACATAAACATAAGAATTATGTTGTGATGACGCTAAATTGGTCACGTGACATGTACGAGACCCTAAGCAATGTTGCTGTTCCACTTCTTACACATGCTGATAGCTTTCTCATTTTTCTTTATTTTACGAGTTGTAGATTAATTAACAAAAACACTGTAACAAGTCATGTAGTAACAGACAAATAAGTACTAGAACCTGAAATGAAGTTTGAACAACTGAGTTTATTGTATGCAAGGAACAATAAGACCAAAGGATTGTTCGAAATATAGGTACAAAACCTCCAGTTCATATTGCAAATTTCACCCTTCTGCAAATTGTTACCATAGCAATGGGGGGGCACCTGTGTTTGGACATTCCCAAGACCTTGAACACTTTTAGTGGTCAGTTTTATCTTTCCTTAGTTGGGGGGGGGTCTTTATCTTACACTTGGAATTTCATGTTGATTAACTCCCATCCCTGCCATAACTCAAAGGTGCCTAAGCATGGAATGTCTTGTGTCACAAGAAGTCTTTGTGCAGAAAGAAATCAGTTAACCCCTTTCTCACATCTTGTATCTTTCTTCAAACAGTATTGCTTAGTCCTTCCTGCAACTTATCAAGTATTTTATACTTTTTTCTTCTTTTAAGCTCATCACGCATCTAGGTTGCTTAGCAACAAAGGACTCTTTGTCCTTTCTCATACACTGTGGAGCCTCATTTATTTATTATTTACCTAATGACTATCACATTATTTAGGAAATCTCTATTACTAACACTTTTTTGCATAATCAAATAGTAATAACCATCAAAGCCCACTAATATGCGCAGAACACTGTAGGAATGTGAAAGACATTGTGGAAATCTCTCAAGCATGCATGCACCACAGCTTACAGATGTTTCTCAAGCTGAAAGATACAAGGTTGTACAAGGTAAAATAAGTACAGAAAATTCAGTATGGATACTCTTAATCACATTAGGTAAATTTGCATATAGCAGGAGATTACTGTATTTCTTTTCAAAATTACATTGAAAAGGTGAATTGTTTGTTGTGGCCCTGGATCTTAACTTGTAGGATAATAATTATGAAATAAAATCATTTTCTTTTTTACATTTCTGTGTCTTGTGGCTCCAATTTACATTTTCGGTCTCACTTATGCATAGTGTGGGATGTCACATGAATTCTTTATAAAATTCTTATTAGGAAATTGAAACTTTGAACTTATCATGAGGAAAGATGTTATGTTGTTATGCAAATTAAACATTAACAGTTGAAAGAAAAAGTTTGTGAACCCTTTGGAATTACCTGGATTTCTGCATTAATTACTCATAAAAATGTGGTCTGATCTTCAACTAATAGACAAACACAATCTGCTTAAACTAATAACACTCAAACAATTGTACTTCTTCTTGTCAGCACTGAACACATTGTTTAATCATTCACAGTCTAGGTTGGAAAAAGTATGTGAACCCTTGACCAGGTTCACAACATTTTTCTTGTAACTGTATATCTAAATTCCTCAATGTGTGCTCCTAGGAAGTTTGTTTGCATTTAATATTTTTTCCATTCTGATCAAATCCAATTAAACATATAGCTTATTTAAAACCAAACTGCTTATTTATGGTGAAGAATCTCCCTTATTATTTTTACATCCAAAACATATGTGAATAATCTTTTGATTATTCCTTTGAATTGTAAGGAGTTTAATCCTCACGTTCATATCCATGCCTTTGCTGCACGCGTCTTCCTAACATATGGAGTTCCTTTAACTAAACCTAAAGTTTGTATACACATGTAGTGAGTACCTTGAATAAGAGAATACCGGTACATTTAGAGTATTACAGCATCTATGTGAACATAATGAGATTTGATCAGATGATTCTCATTAAGTGGTATCTAGAAATCCTGATCAGAAAGCATGGATTACAGTAAACAGGATTTTTTTGGAATCACATACTGTATGTATTTTTGTTACAACCATAACTTAAATTTTGATTAATTATTTTCACTTAGTTGTGGTCTGATTATCCAATTTCCATGTTGCATCTTTTTTTTTTTAAGCAAAGCTATTTTTTTATTGAATGAATTATGCCAAATATGCTGCATTCCTAAGGGCCTTAGCTTTGAAGATTTTTTTTACCTTGAAAGCTCAACAAAAGTATTTTTCTGTTGTTCTCTTTGCCATGAAGTCTAAGAGGAGATCTCAAGGCTTATCCCTGGACCCCATCTATCACTGCCTGAACAGGACCATCCTCTACCAGCTCTCCCGGCCACACAAGACCGTTCCTCAGCAGGTGGCACTGCTGGACGCTCTGCGTGTGCTCACTGTCAACCGCAACCTCATCCTGGGCCCAGGCAACCATGACCAGGAGTTCATTGCTTGTCTGGCTCATTGTTTCATCAACCTCCATGTGGGAAGGTGAGAATCTCGCTGTGTTAAAGCAACACAGAGAACATTTTTGAAAACAAGTCACAAGGTTTCATAATGTTCTTTTTCATTTTTACCAAAAATTGAAATTGAATTTAAATTGAATGTAGTTTAAAATACCTTTTGAGAATTATTTTAATAATATGTTTCATTTTTTGTTTTTGTATTAAACAGTTTTTGTGGTGATTTTAGTAGCTTGTGATAAATTTTGTTTTGGAATTAGTTATCATGTATTCTTAGCTTTTAAAGAGCCCAAGTGTCCTACCATTTCTGCATTAATGACTGGATAAAACAAATGCAGCTTTCTGGATAGAGAAGTCACTGCTAAAATTCTGTTTTCACTAGCAGCGTTGATGGCTTTGGTCTGGAAGCCGAAGCTAGAATGACTACATGGCACATCATGATGCCTTCTGACATTGAACCTGATGGGCCACACAGCCAGGATGTCAGTGAAGGTAAACTTCTGAATTAGGGCAACATGAATTAGGACACAATGTAGGACATCTACATCGTAAGCAGTCCAGTATGGGTACAGGACTTTTTGAAGTACTGCAGTATTTTTGTGGTGCTTTTCTCAGGACCTTAAAACTGATCGTCAGATTAGCGGAGAATTGGGACATTATTGTTCTGAACATTTATGTTTTCAGAGGTTTATAAAATCCATATGTTTGACAAAAGATCATGAAACACAAGAGTGTAGAGGCCTATACAAAGTTGTGTCAGAGTGACTGTATTAACTGATAAGTCAGATGGTTTGTTTGCCCAATTGGATTTTTCAATAAATATTTGGAAATTTCCCATAATATCTTCTCTGAAACAAATAAAGATATGATGTACAGTGTCACCTTATATCCAAGATGTACATTGAAAAGTTAAAATAAAACTTCAAACAAGTTCTTGCTTGATCAACTAGAGTGAAATTTAGACAACTTAAATTAAATGTTTTTTATGTTTTGTTCTCTTCTGTTTATCTTAGGTCGTCAACTTCTGCTGAAAGCAGTGAACAGAGTTTGGACTGAGCTCATTCTCAGTAAGAAGCAAGCCTTGGAAGAAATATTCAAAGTGCCCTTGCCTGTGAATGACCGTGGCCATGTAGATATTGTCACTGCACGAGCCCACATAGAAGAGGCAGCTGCTAAGAGTTGGCAGAATCATCTAGGTTAGTTCTGTAATTATTTTCTAATATATTGTTTGTTGAAAAAAGAACTCTTTAGAGATGCTAATCCTAATGTAAATTGCATGCTATGAAAAGTCCAATTTTAGATTTTGCATTTTATAGCATATTTAAAATGTTATATGTGTACTGCTTGATAAACCTGGTGTACTATCCTGTTGTAATCCATATCTTAACCTTCATTTGAACGATGAATTACATGAAGTAAAACATGAGTTTCTGAAATGAGCCTGTTGATGATTTTAGTTATCTATGGGAATAACTAAAATCTCTGGGATCTAGATTTCTATTGCAGCTTTAGGCGCAAACCAGCTAAACCAATAATTTCTTGATGGTTTCTAAAGGGAAGAAATTGTAAGCTTGTGTTTCTAAACTCCTGTGAATACTGCAGATACAATAATAATAATAATTGCTTACACTTAGTGCTTTTCTGGACACTCCACTCAAAGCTCTTTACAGGTAATGGGGACTCCCCTCCACCACCATCAATGTGCAGCATCCACACAGATGATGTGACGGCAGCCACAGTGCGCCAGAACGCTCACCACACATCAGCTATTAATAATGGAGCCAATTTATAGATGGGGATTATGATTGATAAGGGCCAATTGGAAATTTGGCCAGGACGCCAGGGTGACACCATTTCGAGAAATGCCTTTGGATTTTTAATGACAATAGAGAGTCAGGACCTCGGTTTCATATCTCGTCCAAAGGGCAGCGCCTTTTTACAGTATAGTGTCTCCGTCACTATACTGGGGCATTAGGACCCACATGGACTGCAGGGTGAGCACGCCACGCTGGCCCCAGTAACACCTCTTCCAGCAGCAACCTTAGTTTTTCCCAGGTCTCCCATCCAGGTCCTGACCACGCTCACACCTGCTTAGCTTCAGTGGGTTGCCAGTTGTAACTTACAGGTTGATATGGCTGCTGAAAATAGCTGTGCAAATACTCAAGTTTCTTGAGTTGTATGTACTAGTTTTTTTTTAATGCAGTTAGAACCTCTTTTCCTTGTTAAGTGTATGCTCTCCATTACAGGGTGATATGGCTGCTGGCTATGTACAGCAACCTAGTTTGCTGACTTGGACATACAGTAGGCAATATAGACAGTGAGAGTGATTTTTCCAAAATTTGGCTGCAAAATAAAATGTGCCCCTGAATTTCCCAAAAGGAAACTTTTAAAATTAAAATTTTCTAGATGTAAGTATGGGTTTTTTTGTTGGTTCATATAGACATAATCTGGAATTTTCACAGGACATTATTGAGAGATGAGAAAAGAAACAGAAATTTGAAAGCTGAATAGTAACACTGAGGATTGATCGGACTTTTTAAATTAAATGAGCTGCAAAAACTTAGCTGCACGTGTCTAATCTAAGTTGTGAAAAAATAGACTTGTAGAGGTCTGATAGGAATATAGATGGTTTATTTTTAAGATGACTTTTTTTTCAACCTATATTTCTATACTGTTTTGTCTGCTGTGTGCTCCTCTCCAGCCCATGAGAAGAAGAGTATCAGCCGGGGAGAAGCCATAGCTCCCGTCTCACAGTCCAAGCTGTCCAGAGTCAGCAGTGGCTTCGGCCTGTCCAAGCTGACAGGAGCGCGGCGCAATAGGAAAGAAAGCGGGCTCAATAAAAGTAATCTCTCTGCTCAGGTCTGTGGAATAGATTCATAGAGTGAATTGCGAAGCTGACAAAATCCAGTGTAAAACTTTAGATCTCATATTAGTGATAAGGCACTGTGTGTGTAATGATAAAATACTATGGTGTGTTTGAGGACATAAAATGATTGTAGTGGCTTCTTTAAAAGATTATGTATATAAAGACTATATAAAGTCTATTTTCTTTGTAGTTGTGATAATTCTCAGCTACAAAGAAAAAAGGTAACTCATTTTTGTTTGACTGTCATCTTTACTCTGATGATTCGTTTTACATGTTAATTCTGATTAAGAGCAATTTATTGTAAATATTTCCTGCCTCAGATGGTCTTTCAAGTTACGCAGCCATCGCTGTATTTATATTATTATATATTTTAAGATTTAGACATTTAGTTTTTCCCATTTGTTGTATTTTGTGTAAACATGTAAATTTTCATTTCTAAACATTTAAAGATTCTGTCCTGAATATTGTAGTGATTAACTTTATTTGTCCTAAATGTATCACCAAATGGTAAAAATGCTTCACCGTGTTCCCCGTCCTTTAGCTAAGCTGATATGCGTGCAGTTTTCTTTATCCAACATTATATATACTTTGTGTTAGTTTCCAAACTTATTGGTATAGTTTCCATCTTCAGGAAACCTTCCAGTGGATGTTTACCCACATTGCTGTTGTTCGGGATCTGGTGGCCATGCAGTATAAGGAGTATCAAGAAGTAAGTAACGAATGTGAACTCACTTAGCATAAAACATTCAAAGTGTCTTTTATTATGTTGGACATAACTGGTACAGAACTGAGACATGACTGAAACAGAGAACCTTGAAAAGAGTTTCTACACTTCCTTGTGGGTAGCTGCGTCATCATGTGTAGTCTGCAAAGGAACAAGTAATAGGTTTATTCCATGCTGAAAAGAGAAGAGAGAAAACACAATGTTTCAGCTGTGAAGCCTTCTTCAGAGAAGGCTTTTATCTCTTCTCTTTTTAGCATGGAATAAACCTATTGTTCCTCTACACTTCCTTGACTGACTATCCATATACCTTATCAGTTTTTTTTATTAACTTTCCTGAATTAGCTAAATATTTCATGCAAGTTTCAATTTTTTGGTTTAGTTTATTGTAGTTTATGTTGTATTTTGAATAGTGCAAGCCAAAACACTGGGCCAGTCAATGGTATTACAAACTTTTGTTTATATCCCTTTAATAGTACAACTAGATATAGTACTCACTCCTGTATTCTGTACCTGAAATGATCATTTTTAGAAATATAGTACTAAATCAATTATTTAACTAAAGACCAGTGATAAATATTGTATTTAGCATTTACCACTGTGTATGTAATCCTAAAATGGAGAGTATTTGGTATGGTATTGTAAGAGATCGCATCATTCAGAGACCGCACCATTCTGTACTCATAGGCAGAATCTAATGGTCAGCACTCAGTAGTGATGTATTTTAGTAACTTTATCACTAGTGGGATAGTGGGGAAATTATAAACAAAATCCAAGATCCAAAAAGCTAATTTTCTCTAGTACTTAAACAAATAAATAGTATGGTAGATTAGTTGACAGTATAAAATTTAAAATTATCTTCCTTCTACTCTTCCCCATGCAGAGGCAACAGAATGCCCTGAAGTATGTAACTGAGGAGTGGGCTCAGATAGAGTATGAGTTATTGAGAGAAAGGGGCCTTTGGGGGCCACCAATTGGATCCCACCTGGATAAGTTCCTGCTGGAGATGACTGAAGGACCCTGCCGGATGAGGAAGAAGATGGTGCGCAATGACATGTTTTACATCCACTACCCCTATGTTCCAGACACAGAGCAAGACACCAGCTCCCAGGTAAGCACATTTCAGTACAATAGATCCACCACGCCTAAACCAGCAGAACAAACCACTTCAGATTTAAACATATGATCCGAAGCAAACTGACTTTCTTTGCAAAATGAGTGAAATACAGGGTTGGTTTTGAACTGTTTAGCATTGTAGTAATTGAAATTGCTGAAATTATTTTTCTGCAAATTCGGTTTAATGTCTTGTAACACTTTTAACTGTCACTGTGTAGCTTAAGGTATTTGAATTATGCATTAAATGTGTTACCAATCCTTCAGTTTCTATAAATGTGGGGTCATGTTTAGGTCAATTAAAATCCTATGGATTTAAAGACAGCTTAATCTTAAACATAGTGTTTTATCAGTATTCGGAAAAATGTGAATAAGCTATAGATTTTAGCAAACAGGGGTATTTGTTTTCTTCCAAAGTATTAAGTACATTTAATTAAATTAATTGTACATAATTAAAAAATCTATAAAATCATTCTCAATTTAGCACATCACCAATTAATCCAAAAGGAGCATTCAGAAAGCAAGAAATCTGATGTCCCCTTGTATCAGAAATGCTACAGGGTCTCTAAAAGTTGCATTTCCCTTTAGGTCCCCTTTATTAATAATGTAACAATGTTATTGATCAGGGAGGGGGTCAATTTAAGTGAAGCAGAAGCATTGTGGTTTTGTCAAGCTGTTGTGTTTCTGTTTGGTTTCCCCATTGTTCCTTAACATTTGGTATGCAATTTTTCATACAAAGCCTTCACAAAATCTCTCAGTGCTGGACTTTTTTCACTTGGGCAGTGTTTGAAGTATTTTGTATCATTCTTACTGCTAGTTTAATGACCACTTTATATGTAATTGGTCAAATACTAACTGAAACACTAGATTACAAAGATGTGTTTTTAGACAATCAATTTTTTGCTCCATTTAAAAACTTTTATTTTTTTCAGAATATATATTTTTGTTTTCTTCTTGATATATTTATTGTCTGTATTTCACGTCTCGCTATCACTATCCTCAAAACCTCACACAGGGGAAAATGAGGAAGTGTAGGCACCTAATACAAACCATTCTTCTTTTAATACACAGGCTGGAGGTTTAATCAGCACATCACTTAATGATAGCACATCAAACCTGAAACAGCCACAACACTGCATGGTTAGCTGTGAGCCAAAACAGCTTTGTCTGACCGATCCCACCCTACCCTTGGCAGCCTCTTGGGGGTATTCTAGTCACAGTCAGCTAGTTACTTGACCAGATACAGCCTGCATTTGGGCGATTGTATTTACTTGTTGAGTCACTCATTAGGCTCCATAAAGTTTTTAATTTTAATCAAAGCTTTCTTTTGTCTTCATTTATATTAATGCTAATTTATGAAAAAAAATATTTTAAATTTTGATTACAAAAATATATTTTACACATACTGTACTGTAGTGGCTTTAAAACTTTACAGTATCATATTGTGTTTAGAAGCAAATAAACATGTACAGTACAAAACTAAACGGAGGCCAGATTGAAACAGGTTTTGCACTATATTTAGATTTTTTTGCTACTGTACTGTAGCTGATTTACTCCACTGTACTTTTTGGTTATCTGTGGATGATGTGATTTATGTGTGTGACATATCTAGAATTCTAGTCTTTTTGTTCACATACCTGTATTACTGTACATGCTGTGAAGAAGTACTTTCTGTTCTGTTTTAAATAAAATATTAGAATGAGCAACTTTCTATGCCATGCCAATACAATACATTAAGAACTAGGAACTTGGATTATAGGGTGGTTAAACAGACTTAAGGAACGCTAAAGTTTTTTAATTCAAAAATATAGTAAAATACACACTTTGCTTGCTTGGTGAGGGAGACAGTGATTTACATTTTGTCTTAATGCTAATTATATAATGTAAATGATAGAAGTGAATAGATAGAAATAAATATAACATTATATAAAATATGTAGTTCAGGTCGGTAGCTGCGTCAGCATGTGTAGGCTGCAAAGGAACAAGTAATAGGTTTATTCCATGCTGAAAAAAAGAAGAAAGAAAACAACGTTTCAGCCGTGGAGCCTTCTTCAGGTGTTATATAAAATATGACTTCATTCTCATGATGGTGCAAAAATTCTAGTGTTTTGCATGTTCTTAGATAGCTAATTAGATTAGCTATCTAATAAGGACATGCTTTGAACCTATGAACAATTGTCCCTTTTGTTCAAATTTCAGTCCCCCTGGGCGAGCAGATTAAGTAGTATTTTGAGTATACAAATTAACTGCATAACTTGTGTAGAAATGCTGAAATAGTAGGATTACCAAACAGGAAATAATGTCACACAAAATTATCTTAATTTGAGTTAATTTGAGCAATCTCATTTTGTATACAAACCTGGGAAAATATAGCCAATCATTAAAAATAGTGAATTAGGAAATGTGTAATCAAAATGTGAAGGTGATATTAAGCTGTCAGCTCAGTACATAATCTCCTGTCACAGCTTGAGGAACAATGAGCCTGTCCTACAACAAATTTTTAATATGTTGTATGTTATAGGTAAGTGCCCTATGATGTGTTTGTCCCGTAAATGTCTGTAGATAATTGTGTTGATTGTATACGCATAGGCAACACTGTAATTTATCTTCCAAGCCAATAAAGCTTCTTGAATTAATACAAACACAGTGGAGTGTGAATGGCTGATGACAACTAGCTCAACCAGTTGTTGGGTACACTCTGGTTAATAACACCTGCAGTTTGCTTTCTCCATCTGTCTGTGGTGGAGGGGCTTATCCTCTTCTGCCACTCTTCCTCAGTTTAATATCTTATATATTCCTAGTACAAATGCTGATGGGTTTATGAGATTGAGAATGTAAAGTGAATATTTAATGGACTGTGTGATATATAAAATTAATATAAATATCAATGTAGTAGACTGTGTACCATATTTTTTGTTTTTATTAATTTATAATAATGACATTCAGAAACTTATTTTTATTTTAGCTACCATCATTTTTCTTTAGTTACATAATACACTCATACCCCGGTATCTGAACCTAATTCGTTTCTGAAAATCTGTTCGGAAGGCGGGAGATCGTAAATTGAAAAACAAATTTCATTATTTCTTATGGGAAACATTCCACCCCGAAGTCAAGTTCACTCAAAAACCACCCAAAACATATAATACCATACAGACCATTATAGCATTAGTGAACAATGCAGTTCTACTAAAAAAAGCCACCTATATCTGTAAAATAATTAATGTTACCAGATTTACTTTTTTCATTCTTTCATATAGATCGCTATCCACACGATCTACTAGAACGATGTGTATACTGTTGTTGACTAATTTAAACAACTGTTGTTGTTACAGTACATTAAAGAATCTTTTTCTCTTCCTTAAGACCCCATAATGAACAGCAACTACAAAACAAACATAAAAAAACACTTTGAATATGAGAGCACAAGCTTTCGTTGTGATTGTAAACAAAGTACTTCTGCACCCGTACAGGAACAAACAGCTGTTCAGTGGCACTGAATTCAACTGATCGCAGAAGATTCTCAGCCAAAATCAGTCACTTTAATGTGGATTAGCAAAATTTATAAAAATTTATTTAACTTATAACAAATTACAAAGTACAAATTCTTCATGTTCGGGTAAGTATACATTTGCATACCGAACATTCTTTTATTTCGGTATGAGTGCACCATATTAATATTCCATATTAAGAAGATTTACAAAAGTAGGACAGCAGATTAAATTAAGCTAATGTTTTCACTAACATATAATGCACCACAGGTGCCATCTATCGATCTTCTTTGGCCAGTGAAGGTTTTTTGGGCAGTTTGATTCAGGGTAACACATCAAACCGAGGCATGGCGCAGTCAGTTTACCGTGGAAATGAGTTTTGACAAGCAGTCTGTTTCTACTTTAGAAATGGCTGTTCATATGCCCTTTAATGAAGAATAGGTCCTGTGAATGCACCTGTTTATGTCAAACCTGCCTGCAATAATGAGTCTAATATCTCTTTCCAAAATTTAATTTTAATTCATAAGATATTTTCTAATCCTAAACAATGTCTTTTTAGAAACCCACCCGTTACCGAAGAGCCATAAGTTATGACAGCAAGGAGTACTACATGCGTGTCCTCTCTGGAAATCCAGGCATGTATCAGCACTCCATTGAGCAGAGCTCAGAGGGGGAGACTACACAGCATGAGCCTGAGCATGGAGAGGACACTATCGCCAAAGTCAAAGGTAACAGCCTGTTAATTAAGCTTACAGTGCTATTGAAACAGCAAGCATATTACCTTCTGTTAAACCCTAGCATATGGTCTTATGACATTCTCAGAACTTTGCAGTTAATATATTATGTGATGTTTTAACAGATGGTGTTATTGTATATTATTAGTTGATTATATATGCTTTTTTATTCTTAACAGTAGTCCTTTATGGTCAAATTACAGATTTAAAGATACCTTTAGATGTTCAGAATCATCAGAAAAGACCATTTTAATAGCAGACTTAAATTTTTTCGATTATTTAGTCATTAGATTGTGACTGCCTTCTGTTGATGTCAACTTAAACCAATATCTGGCTGTACCCCATTACTCCCAAGGCTTAGTGAAGCCCCCACTGAAACGCTCACGCTCCACTGCTGACGGGGCAGATGAAGACAGCCAGGAGCAGCTGCAAGACCAGTTGCTGGAATCTGGGGCCATGGATGAGGAAGAGAAGACAGATAATACTACTCTGCTGAGGTTACTGGAAGAGGGAGAGAAGGTTGGATATAGTTTTTGCTCTTTTGTTGTGGCATTCCATGATAGGTGCATTACTTTAAAATAGTGTGACATGTTTGGGGTGGCCAGGTCACAGCCAGCAGGATCTTGATGCTGTGGGCACAGTGTAAGGCCAGGAAATAATTCTTAGTCCTTATCCTTCCTGTGAATAGAGCACAGAGCAGTTCAGCTTTCTCCTCTTCAGATCACTCCAAGCTTCCAGCTTTTTAAACAGTCACCTGGCCAACTGTCTTCAAACAGTTGGTCCAGACAGGGCTGTGCTCTTACAATATGTTTTTTTGAAAATAGTGGTATGTTAGAATTTATGACAATAATTGACACTTTATATATACAAAAAAGCAAAACCATAAAGAATTTCCATTCTATTCCTCATCCCATCCCCCCTCCCACCATCACTTCATGGGTAGTAAATGTCCTCCCTCCCCAGCCCTCAGATGACCCCAGAAATGCCCCTTCATGAGGTAGCCCTTAAAATGGGCTTAATGGTGCTTTGATGGTGTCCATTGCCCTCAGCCTCAGTCTGTCCCACTCCACCAGCCCCTTGGACTTGTGCAATTGAAAGGTCCATAGAAACAATGCCAAGAAAGGAAAGGGTTCACTGACTCCTGGGGAAGGGCCACCAGTGCTGGGGAGCCATACACTTAGCAAATAAGGGAGAAAAGCATACATTATTTCCAGAACAGACTTCGGGCCCTAGAACACAACCACATCTAATTGTTTCCACACCATGTGAAAAAAGTGGCTATTGCTCCTTGGGGATCTAGATTTTGAGTAGTCAGTGATTCTCATGAAAAAACATTTCTGAGTAACTAAATTCATTGGAAAAACTGACATGCTCCTGCCAATCAGGGTTTTTAGAATTGAAAGTGCTCAAACACTCAAATTACTCCAAATACTGTCCCAAGAAATGTCTTCATATATGAAAGTCCTTTATTCTTAATTCAAAAAGTCCTTTATCCTGAATTCAAATAGTACTACTCACTAGTGTGAGTTCTTCAATTAACTGCTAACTACCAAACAGGCTAGATATCCAGATAGTTTCCTTTCATTTGTAACCTTTCTCATGTTCTCAGTAGATGGGCATAGAAGGTGCACACCAGTCCTGATGTTATTTCTCTTTAGTTCAGCATATTATGTAATGGATGGGATTGAAGCACTACAGTTCAGAGAACACCATAAACACAAATTGAGGTGCAAACATGCAAATAAAATAAAATTAGCCAGAGTTTGAATTGTGAATAATTTTACTATGTCCTTCAAATGCAAAGGACTGACTGACAGATGGAAGGCCAATGTGATGAAATATGGGAGAAGACAAATGCTCCTTCCAATTTTAGTATTTTTTTATTTTAATTGACAAATAAAAGATGATTAGGCCGAATCATGATCTAGATCATGATCTAGAGTAAAAAATCGTGTACTCTGTGAAGAAAGCCCACTCATTCTTCCAGTTTCAACATGAAGCAGGATTATTGGCATGAACTAAACTGCGACCAAACGCGATGCGAATGACCAAAAATTAAATTTAGAATTTTAGTATAGAATCGAAGGCTGCATTTTAAGAAGGAACAAACTGTATTGTAGTATTTTAGATTTTTTTTGTCTTTTAAATTAAATTAGCTTTAATTGCAATTTGTCTTTTACTATTGAAGAGTATGCAAGTTAAATGTATAAAAAGTATTGGACAGTATATCAGTACTGTGCTGCACTAGCTTAGTGAGTGTTAAATCTGCAAGTTACTTCACTTCTGTTATCTCTAAGTAGCGTGGCACCATTATGTGGTTCTTGAGACCAATAGATTGGCACATAAATCTATTGAATAAATCATTTTAAAAATTGTCCTACAGAGCTTTCTGAAACTAAAAAGGTACTTCATACTGAGAGCATTGTACTTTGCGTATATAAGCCAGATTCTGAAGGTGACCGAGGATAAGTCTTTTTCCATTCATCAGCAGTTTATCGGTAGCCTGATTTTTATGTGATTAATACTCCGAGCAGTGCTTCAGTTCTTGCACACCTGAGTATTTGTTTCCTAAATTATTTTTTTAAGTGGCAGTGTTCTCTGTGATTTTTCATTTTTTTATTTATGTCTAAATTCTTTACTGATACGCAGCCATTATTTCTTATTTATTTAAAAAAAAACATAATACCACAAGGGAGCTTACCAATTCTAGATTTTAATGAGGCCTATATAGTAATCAATTAAAACAGGTGGTGTGCATCAAAATAAATGAGAGATGAAAAACAGGCTGTACCTTGCTCTTGTGAAACTTCTGGATCAATTAAAAGTAAAGTATTGTGTTCTCCTTTTAAGACATAATTCAAAGAAGAAGGGTGGAAGCCTTTACTATGCCTCTTCAGCTGGAGTTTTTTGGTATCTAGTTAAGCTATGTGTAACATCCACTAATATTGTTTACCATGCAGAAACAGATAATCAGCTTTACATTTTTGGGGATATAAATAACCACCTGAACACCCATATTAATCATTAACATTTTGTGAAGAATTGGCAAACTGACATAATGACCTTATGCAGTATTGGTCTTTTGGCGCCATTATTACCTGACTACAGTCAATTCTTGCAAAGCAAGGGCCTGTAGACCTCTAAGAAAAAGAAAACAAAATGGTGGTCCGGTAGGTCCTCAGGACCAGAATTCAGAATTTCCAATCCAGGTCAATAACCATAATAACCAGGGACACTGTGCTGTAGAAGGTGCTGTTTTTCTTATGAGAAAACCAAGGTCATAACTACTTGTGGTCATTATGGATCTTATGACATTGTTCATAAGAATATGTTGCTAATTCTGGCTATATTGCACTCTGAGGTTGCATAGTCTTGGCATGCATACATGCAAATTATTTTTGTGACAGTATCCTCATTCCTCTTGGTCATGTTTAAAATGAACATATATCGTTTATTGTATCGACACAGTATTCCAAAACCTGTTCTGTTCCCGAGGACACCAATGAAGAATCAGTAGATCAAAACAATGTGTGTTTTGTTTGGTCTTTAGATTCAGCACATGTATCGGTGTGCCAGGGTTCAAGGCCTTGACACAAGCGAGGGACTGCTGTTGTTTGGGAAGGAACATTTCTACGTGATTGATGGCTTCACCATGACAATTACAAGAGAAATCAGGGACATTGAAACCCTGCCTCCGAAGTAAGTGCAAATGCATTCAATTTGATTGATATCTCTTTTCATAGAGCCTACATATTACTTCATATGTGAAATGTCTGCTGTTACCTTAGAAAAGCAGTTGCAGTTGACACAGTTATTGTTATGGAGACATGTCAGTTTTCTTCTGTAGTAGACAGTTTTCCTACTGTCTGCCTTTGCAAATTACAGCTTTGTGACACTGTAAATCAGTGCATGATGAAGACTTTCAAAAATGGCTTGTTCCTAGTCCTAAGATCCTGATTTGCCTGCTGTTACAATAACAAAACTAAACAGAAGTAGGTATTGTATGAAGAGGAGAGTTATAATTGAAAATGATTTAAAAAACCTCAGATGTTTTGTTAAACCTCTCAGGTTCTTTCATATGACGCTTTAAAACTCAACTTTAAATCCATATATAATCAATTTAACGCTATATTTGTAAACTAAAATGATTCTCCATCACAAGATATCGTGTATTGTTTCTGGACTGACCTTAATCCAATGAATGTAATCTAAACAAGTAAATCTATTATTAATTTTTCAATTGGTAACATACAGTATACCAATAGAAGAAGGCAGTTTATTTTAAGTCCGAACACTATCTCTCTTCATTTTGTTACAAATAGAGTTACAAAAATAGTGAATATCAGACAATGAGAAGATTTTGCCAAGACTATACCCAAGCGGTTAGTATAATTAGAAGCACCTGAGTTCTTTGTTCTCTGGCACAGCTTTGGTAAAAGTAAAAAATAAAGACACATTGGTTAAACAAATATTTATAATGGCAATACACACTAAACTAAAAATACAGCATAAAAGTTATGCTTTTTACATACAAGGCATCCCAGAGGCCCACATCCTGACCACCTAGAAAAAAAAAACAGACTTCTATCAATTATTCTTCTACCTCTATAACATCTACACATACTGTACCAACAGGAGAAGTAAATCTGCCTTGTAAATGAACAGAATATGATTATACAGTTAAATCTCTCTGCCTGTTCTGCAAATGCATCCACTAACCAGAACTGGTTGTTTTTAACCAAGGGATTCTTTATTGAGGAAATCCTAAAGTTTCCTAAAAGCAACAGAATGGCAAGCTGTCTTCACAAGGTTCAAAAATGTAACTTGAATCTTATCTTTACAGATGTCTGGACAAGGAGCTGTTGTCTGACCCTTCCTCCTTTCTCCTCTCTTCTCTCTGCCTTCCTTTCTCTTCTTCTGTTCTTGCCTTCTATCCCCTTTCTTTCCCTTCTTCTTCTCCTGTCTTCTTTTTTCTCTCACCATAGCCCATTTTATTCTGTGGTCCTTGACTTGATTGGCACTTAATCATTGACCCAGAACTTAAATCAACCAAAATAAACCAAAGATTCCTTTAAACTGTGTTCAAAAGTGTTCTCACACCCAGCAAAACTAAAGACTTTAGTTCCTCTCTTGCTTTGAAGCTCCAAAAACTTCTTCAATCTTTACTCTAGCCAGATGTTAAACATCGTATCTGGATTCTTTAAGACACTTCAGTAGTCACTTCCAATAGCTGTTACAGTATCTTTCAAAATGCTAATGCAAGAAACAATGGGTATAGTCAGGTGTTATACATGGTTTTTAAAATACCTCAGTGAAAAGTATGACAAAGGTGCTCCAGATAATTTTTTCCATAAATAAAATATAAAAGTGGTGGTGACACAATGCCTGTTTATGTTTTTTGTTAAAAGTATGCACGAGCCCATTATCCCCAGAGGTGCCAGGCAAGGTCAGAGCCAGCTGAAGAGAACCTGCAGTATTTTTGCCTATGAAGACATAAAGGAAGTGCACAAACGTCGATACCTCTTACAGGTGAGATGATTAATGACCTTGCTTTGGTAACATAAAGCGTATTACATCTGTAATTGCTGTTTATTAAGATGGCTTCCTTAGATTATGAATCAACCCATTGTCATACATAATTAGAATTAATTAAAATGTTTAAGTCTGAGATTTCTGCAGGGGATTTTTTAATCAGAAAGTGGTTTTTCATTTCATTTATTCATTTCATTTATGCAAACTGATTTTCTGTTTGGTCTGTTTTTTTGGCAGCCTATTGCAGTAGAAGTATTTTCTGGTGATGGGCGGAATTACCTGCTGGCATTCCAAAAAGGAGTTCGAAACAAAGTCTATCAGAGGTTTGTGCTATGTATGGTATTTTATTCAGACCATCACCCAGCTGGGTTTTGTCTGTTCACAACCATTTTGAAGTTGTAAGCAGTATTTTGGCCATTTTAGCGCCCTTTGTTCCATTTGAATTGTGCATTTCTGTCACTCTTGTCTTACCAGGTTTCTGGCTGTTGTGCCCTCTCTGGCAGACAGTTCAGAGTCTGTATCAGGCCAGCGGCCTAACACCAGTGTGGAGCAAGGGTATGTACTGTAGATCTGATTAGGCCACCTGATTATTATCAATGATTATTGATCATTATAACAAATCAGAACATTACCTCACACCATTAATCTGATATTTGTTAGGGGTTTTTGAGGGAATTTATCATATATAAACCATTTTTAGGGTATGTGATGAAGTGTACACATTTTTCAGATGAATAAAGTATAGTTGCTTCCTTATACTGTAACTTTTCATTATGTGTGTGAAAATGTATTTTATAAATTCATTAAATAATATCATTCAGTATAACATGCATGCATAATGGTTTATATGTTGTGAGTATGTTTTAAGTAAAAACTACATTTTTTCTTGTGATAAGTGGACTCATGAAGGATTTTAAAGCTTAAGATTTTTAACATATTTTATCCATTTACTTCTCTCGCAGAACAGTTAATAGTTAAAGCCTTTGTTTGCTGTGTGTGATATTGAAACAAAATAATAACTTTTCAGAAAAGGAAGCATTTCTTTAAACAGATCAATGCTATGCAGTGTATATATTCAGATGTATTTATACATACTTTTATGTGGATAGATCCGGTTTGCTGAGTACTTTGGTTGGTGAGAAGTCAGTAACACAGAGATGGGAGGTACGTGCACTTATTTAATTTATTTGTAGATTTTTATTGAAATATTTTTCTATTGTTCTAGCCAGGCATTTAAGTGTAGATTTTATTTCTGACCTGTGTTTATGTTGTAATGATGGCTTCTTTTACTGAATGTAGGCAGTCCTGGCTTTTAAAAACAATATGTTCCTGGAATCCCCATCCTAAATTAGATAATCAAAAATCAAGCCTTATATTCACAGTATTGAAAAGGGAATTAGAAGACCGATTTTCACAGAAAGGTAGAAATATAGGATTTACTTATACATGGAGTAACTAAATACTGTAATATGTTAGGAAACAGTTCCATAATGCTATATGTTCATTGAACATAAGGCTTGATTAAAGTACAGCTTTTTATAATTCTACTTTTTTATTCTAACTGTGCTAAATATTTGTTTTACAGACACATGTCATCTTATCCATTTTACAGAGAAAATGTTTCATGAAACAGTCCCTTGCTTTCAATATGTAGAAGTTGGATCATTGTAAATCAGACTCATGTAGGTCATGTATTTAATGGCTGAAACGTGTTTCCTGTTTATGCAGCGAGGAGAGATCAGCAATTTTCAATACTTGATGCACCTGAACACACTTGCTGGCAGGTCTTACAATGACCTCATGCAGTACCCAGTCTTCCCCTGGATTCTGGCTGACTATGATTCTGAGGTACAAGGGAAATGTGAAAAGGCAACTATTTTTTTATGCAGGACTTGGGAGGAGTGAAAGAATAGTCTTATATACTTACTCTGATCACAATTGTCTAGAATTGCTTTGGAAAGAGGGGACTTGTCTTCTTAAGCAGGTATAAAAGTGCTCATTTAATTTCATAGTATGTTTATTTATTATGCATTTAAAAAGAACTCTTAAACAGAGTTGTGTTGTTTATAAGTTTTGTTCTTAGATCAGTTAAAATAATTAAGGGTCTTTCTGGCCAATGTTTGAACAAACAAGGTATCAAATCATTAATGCATTAATGTTAATATTAACATTATGTTTATGTTAAAAAATAATGGTCTTAACAGAATGATTTGGTAATGTTAAAATAGAATTGGATCTACTCAATATGCAGTCAGTTTGCCTAGTTGTACTATGGGGAGCTACAAATTTGTAAATGCTGTCTTTAAGGAATTGGACCTCACAAATCCCAAAACATTCCGGAACCTGGCGAAGCCTATGGGAGCACAGACTGATGACAGGCTATTGCAGTATAAAAAGAGATTTAAGGACTGGGAAGATCCTAATGGTATTTTACCTGTGTTGTCAGTTTTTCTCTACAGACTTCACTTCTTGGCATTCAAATTTTGTGATTTTACATCAAACACTTCATTTTTAATGAATTGTGGCATCCATTTGACTTCTTTAATATATATTTATCCATATTTAAAACCTACAGAGGTGCAGAGTGTTAAAGGTATGCCTGTAGTTCAAGGAGTTGGAAACAGATTTTTAGGGACTCTTTTCGAGCCACTTTTCCATAAACATTATTAAAATGTTCTAGGTGCAATCCACACATGACAGTATAAAAGGCAGGGCAACTCGATACTTTTGCTTTGAACAGAATTTTCTTTTAAGGTTAATTGACCCATAAGATTTCATTTTAAAGGGGGTTCTGTTAGGATACATACAATTCTTATACAAAAATAGATAAAATATAACACAAATATCACAACAACAAAAAAGAAGAAACACAAAAATAATTAAAAATACAAACTATCTGCCATGAAAGGTAACTTGAATAAATGAAAATTAATGAGTATAATTATTTCAATTACAAGAATTGTTTTACATTCTGTTCTAAATAGAAATTTAGTTTTTAAATACACTAGTGTGATAAAATACACTAATTATGTGATCTTAGTTCAGAGTAAGCTATTCTAATCCGTTGGAACTTTATAGCTAAATGCCTTTTCTTCCAAACTCATAATATAATCAGGGAACTTTAACATATATTTTACTCATATTGTTTAGAATTATGCCCTGTATTTTGTGCTGATAGAAGTTCTTTTAAACAAGTAGGAGTTTTTATCTGACTATATTTGAAATGAAAATAATAGGAAAGACTAGAGATTGCAGATTGATCCATTTAATGCTTAAGCATGATGATTAAGTCCTTGACAGTCAGCTTCTAAACTAGAAATAAGTGTACTTTGGAACAATATCAAATTGAAATATTTTCTAAAATAAGATGTTTTAGTCTTTCTTGCAAAGGAATATTAATTTTTGCCCTCATTTAAAAATGCCTATTTTTTAAAACTAAAATAGAAAACACTTTGTGAGGACATTTATCATACAACTATTAAGCTGTAAGATTTCATCATATGTGTACATACATGTAGTCTTCAAATGCTTATGCATGTTGAATTAATGATGAAACTGAAGTGCAAAGTAAAAGTAATTCTAAATTCTTGAGATAACAAATAGTGAAATGTTATTGCTGATTGCCTGGGAATATCACCAGAACTCCTTGAATGGACTTGCTCTCTTCTGATGTGATTTAATAGGGCTTCTTTCCAATTTGTACCTGGATTAATAAGTATACTTTTACTTTAAATTGACTATTATTTAACTTCAATTAAATATTTTAATTTAAAAAATGTTTTATTTTGTTCTCTTAGGGGAAACTCCTGCCTATCATTATGGGACACACTACTCCTCAGCAATGATCGTGGCCTCATACTTGGTTAGAATGGAGCCTTTCACACAGATCTTCCTTAGGCTTCAGGTAAGTCTCATTATGCATGATTGTTTGACATAGGTTCCTTAGCAAAATAAAAGTTGCCATAATATCCATCCGTTCTTCAATCCTTAAGTTCTATTAAATGAATAAAAAGGTCCTACTGTACCTTCATAATAGCCGTAACATTTTCTCCCTCATAAAAAATACCTTTTCAAATACAGTGTTATTCTGATAAATTGTAATGCACTTACAGTAAATGGGGAATATACGGATGCAGGTTTATGACTCTAGTTCGTGAGATAAAATATTACTTTAGGTCCACCCATAAAATATTGAATGATATTGCAGTGCTTTGACATTTCTTTGATTTCCTTTTGTTACATTAATCTTATAAACACTGAGCTGTTCATAACAAAATGAAGAGTAAAAAGAAAAACATTTTTTTTACTGTACACATTCACAAAATGCTCTTCGACTACAAAAATAAAAGGGACAGGAATGGTCTTTCATCATATCTTAAGTGTTGTACATGTTTTGAAACATCACAGTCGTTTTGTAGTCTTTTGTTAGATGTTTGAATTTTCTAAATATAAAAAATAGTGGTAGAATGGAGCGCATACACTAAACAAGGAAAAGGGGTTTTAACTGCAGTTGAGTACATACAACTCAAGTCTCCCTGAAACTCTTCAAAACTTGAGTATTTGCAGCAGCCATATCATCCTGCAAGTCAATACTGGCACCACTGAAGCTAAGCAGGTGTGAGCCTGGTCAGTACCTGGATGGGAGACCTCCTGGGAAAAACTAAGGTTGTTGCTGGAAGTGTTGTTAGTGAGGCCAGTAGGGGGTGCTCACCTTGAGGTCTGTGTTGGTCCTAATGCCCCTGTAAAAAAAGGCATCGTCCTTCAAATGACACGTGAAACCAAGGTCCTGTTTCTTTGTGGTCATTAAAAATCCTAGGGCGTTTCTTGAAAAGAGTAGGAGTTGTTAACCTTGTGTTTTAGCCTTTAATTCTTTATTGTCCTTTATCAATCTAAGTCCTAATCATCTAGCTGCACATTACCTTTAAAGTGCTTTGAGTGGAGTGTCCAGAAAAGTGCTATATAAGTGTATATAAGTGTAAAGAATAATAATATTATTACAGGTGGGTAGCTGCGTCAGCATGCGTAGGCTGCAAAGGAACAAGTAATAGGTTTATTCCATGCTGAAAAAAAGAAGAAAGAGAACACAATGTTTCGGCTGTGGAGCCTTCTTCAGGTGTTACTGTTATTACTATTATTATTAAGCGGCTGAACTTAAAGGTAATTATATGTAAATAGCATTTAACTTAGTTCACTTTTAAAATGGAGAAAACTGAAGAAGTTAAGCCATGCAGGTTCACCAAAAAATGTTGCCCACTGCTTCAGAAGATAATTACAGGTGTTTGGTTCTTTGCTTAAATTTCCTCAGGGAGGTCATTTTGACCTTGCTGACAGAATGTTTCATAGTGTCAGAGAAGCCTGGTTATCAGCATCCAAACACAACATGGCCGATGTCAAAGAACTTATCCCTGAATTCTTCTACCTCCCAGAGTTTCTCCTTAACTCTAATAACTTTGACTTAGGTAAGTAAAATAATTTTGATTTTGTTTGTAATTTTGTTTTCTTACTCTATAATTAGCTTTTCTAGATAATAGACTAAATGCTTTCCATAACACATTTCTTGATATACAGAGACTGGAATTTGTTCTCCGGTAAATGAAAAACTAAAGTACTATACTTCAGACCCAGTATACAACAAACACTTCCAGAATAAAGGAGTGTTGATAAAATAGACAGTCAATTGAATGTTTGATGTTCGTTAGCATTAAATGTTTTGAATATGTACATATATAAGATCAGTTCTTGATTTTTAGTTTGTGTGAATGGGATTTATTTTTATTATTGTTATCTATTAAGATAAATTAAGAGAGTTTCTTTTAGTCTGACTTTCAGACAGCTGACTCTGATGATCACAGACTTGAAACTCAGTGGGAGTCCAGCAGTTTTTTAGATTTTTTACTGCATTTTTTCCCTGCAGTAACAATGGGAGAAATGGTGAATTATTCACTTCTGTAGTGTAGGAAAGGTAGGTAGTATATATTAAGTTAAATAAAACAGAACTATTGACGAGGTAATGCATTGTGATAGCCTTATTATATCTGGCATTGTGTAACTAGTATGTGCTTAACACTTAAAATAAAAAACACTTTAAATAAAGCATCTGTTCTCATGTCTATTAATTGAATTAATGTTTATGTTCAATGATAATAGGCAGCAAACAGAATGGCATTAAGCTTGGAGATGTGATACTGCCCCCTTGGGCAAAAGGAGACCCCAGAGAATTTATCCGGGTCCATCGAGAGGTAAGAAAGTATAATTTCAGCCTGTGTCATTTTACTTTGCTATTATTAAGTTGTGAAATATGATTCTAAACTCTAGCAATACTTTTGTAAACAATTTGTGTACTAATGTGCTACAACTAGATCTCTTTTTGAACTGTGTCTATAATGTATTTTCCTACCAAATGTGCTGCAGTTATGTTCTAGCCTTGAGACTACTTAAGATTGCATACAATTCTAAAAATCACAAAACAATGGAAAGAAAAAGTTTTAGGTGTGTTTGAGAGTTGTAATATCACATTATATTTAGAAGAATGTTAATTCTTCATACTAAAGCCAGTGTGTTGGTGTATAAACACAGGCTCTGGAGTGTGACTATGTCAGCGCCCACCTTCACGAGTGGATAGACCTGATTTTTGGGTTCAAGCAGCAAGGGCCTCCAGCAGTGGAAGCGGTAAATGTGTTTCATCACCTCTTCTATGAGGGCCAGGTGGATATCTACAACATCAATGACCCACTGAAGGAAACTGCCACCATTGGATTCATTAACAATTTTGGACAGATACCCAAACAGGTACTACTATTTTTACATTATAAAAAATAAAGTTGTTCAAAACTAATATTATTGTACATTTTAAGTATTAGTTATGTTTACATTAGGTAGGCGGTATGGTGCCACAATGGTTAGCATTGCTGGTCCCTGGGTACAATTCCTGGGGTTGAATTTGTATGTTCTCCCCATGTTCTCATGGGTTTCCTCTGGGGGCTCCAGTTTCCTCCCACAGTGCAAAGACAGTGATAATTTAACTGGCTTCTTGGACAGTTGGCTCTATTGTGAGTGTGTATGTGTTTGTGACTGTGTGTTCCCTGTAATGTACAGGCTTTCCTTCCAGGGGGTTTCCCACCTTGCATCCAGTGCATCCTGGGAAATGATCTAGGCCACTGGGACTCTGAACATGAAAAGCAGTTATTGAAAGTGATGTGATGATATAATGTTTTCTTGAGGCGTATTGAATTGTACTTCACCTATTCTGTAGTAGTGATGATTCTTGATAATCCTTTTTTAGACTGAATGTTGAAAATCATCTACTGCTCCCTGTAGAATTCTGTTTTGGAAAAAGTAAACTTTCCACTTCATGAGTTAATGTCAGCATTGCAAATCAGGTTATTTGTAGGTTCTGGAGAAGAAAACATTTTTCTTTTTTAAGTGGATATGCTTCTGAAGTTACAGGTTTCAGTTAACTGTTTCCTAACAGTACACACGTTTTTGTGTTTGACAATGAAATAAGGCAATCACACTGTTTTGTTTTTAGCTATTTAAGAAACCTCACCCCCCAAAACGGGTCCGGAGCAAGTCAAATGGAGAGATTCCAGGGATCCCAGCTTCTCTGAGCTCTGCTGGAGACAAGATCTTCTTTCATCATCTGGATAATTTGCGCCCTTCTCTGGCTCCAGTTAAAGGTACTGTAAGTGACTGTGGCTCATATCACATTTTAAATACCAATAGTCAAAAACTACAAATATTTCAAGCACTAGTAGGAGCATCTGTAATTACTCTCTGGGAGGCTTGGTTGTCCAGTGTATAAGAAAAAAAAGTTTTACCAGAAAGTTCATGCTTCAAACTCTGACATAGTACCGTTCTTTGAATGAGACACAAAACCAAAATTTAGTTTTGGGTGTTCAACTCTCTAGCCTTTGTAAATCATGTGAATTAAACAACTTCTCTACGATCTTTAATCATTAAGATTCTAGGCACTGAATAATTTTGATGACTGGATGTATTTTTTTTTTAAGTTTCTAAGCAGTGGGATGCCTATAGTAATAGTACAGTTGTCTTAGGAACCACTGCACCAATGGATGTGAAAGTTGTAGATTTCATCACTCTCAGAATTGCTTGAGAATTGTACCTGACAAATAGCAGCATTAAATACCCCATTACTATTACAACTGCAATAGTTCATCACCTGCTTGATGAAATGCACCCTGCACCACTGGCTGCTCTTCCTCAAAAACTGTTCGCTCAGTTCACTCCACTTGGTAGGTATAATTTAGGTGACAAGGATTTATAATACTGCAAAACAGAGTTCCTGTTTCAATCAAGCTGGCTCTCTGACTGCCATTTTGTTCTCTTTTCAATACATATCTTGTACTTTTATCGTGATATCTCATAATATCGCTGTTCTCTTTTAAGAACTACACGTGGCACTTTCATTAGTTTTCGAGACATATTTCTCTTAATAATGCCTCAGATTTATATCATGTTGTTAATTTTTCTAGAACTGAAGGAACCAGTGGGACAGATTGTCTGTACAGACAAAGGTATCTTAGCCGTGGAACAGAACAAGGTTCTCATCCCTCCAGCCTGGAACAAGACCTTTGCCTGGGGCTATGCGGATCTCAGCTGCAGACTGGCAAATTATGAGTCTGATAAGGTGATCGATCACTTGGAGATATCTATATTGCGATTTGTTTGTGACTGGATCAGACAGTGAAGTGTTTCTCACTGATTTTGATTTGTCTTACAGACATTTAGAAATTCTATCTAGCTGTTTCATCTTCCAAAAAGACTTCTGCAAGGTCTTAATGGACATTTGGACTTTACGTTGATTTTTTTAAAACTAATAAAAGGTCTTCTTTGGTTAAGATAAGATCACATTATTAGCCATATACTGTACAGTTTCTTGCATTAGGAATTCATATTTTCGCATACCCCAGCTTGCTCTCCGTGAGACAGACACACAGACAGGGAGAGAAGCTTGGGGTCAGAGCTCAGGGTTAGCCATTGTACAGCGCCCGTGGACTAGCTGGGGTTAAGGGCCTTGCTCAGGGGCCCAACGGAGTAGGATTCCTCTGCCGGCCACGGGATTTAACCCGGCAACCTTCCAGCCACAGGCGCAGATCCTTAGCCCCACAGTGCCACTGCTTGATTTTCTAATCTTTCTGTTCTTAAAAAAATATTTTTGTTGTGTATTTGGAGCAGTTTTCTAATGCAGGATAATGTTGAATAGAGGCTTACAGGTTTTAGAATTACCAGTACATTAATACTTTTAACAGTAAAGAACTGTTTTCTAAAGGTTTGCTTTTTCTTGTTTTTTATTCATCTACCATTCGCTGAAATTAATGTATAGTTTTACAGTTCCCTGGTGTGATCTGTTTGCAGGCTGCTATTGTGTATGAGTGCCTGTCTGAATGGGGTCAGATCCTCTGTGCTATTTGTCCAAACCCTAAGCTGGTGATTACTGGAGGCACAAGCACTGCGATCTGTGTATGGGAGATGGGAACATCCAAAGAGAAAGCAAAGACACTCACACTAAAACAGGTAAGCCGTCATTCATCCCTAATCAAAGACAACCACGTTTGATACTGCCAAACATTAGTTGTCTTAAATAGAAAATGATAGCATTTTTAAAAATAAAAATTGTTTTATCCCACAGTAATTTCTGATAAAGGGCTACAAAACATTGATTCATGATTATATAAAAATTAGGCATCTCTCTTACATTTGTCTTATAATTTACTGGCTACACTTGTTAGCGATTCAGAATTACAATATTTATTATTATGTTAATAAAACTCATATGGAAATTTCATATATTGTATATATCCACATTCTGTTATTTTTGTGATATTGTGATATTTAAAATTGTGGTCGAAATTTATAAAGAAGTGTAGGAAATTGGTTAAAGTGTAATGCACAACAATATGAAAGTTAATTCCATGCTGAAAAGTGCTTTTGGCTGTGGAGCCTTCTTCAGGTGTGACACAGCTGAAACCTTGTGTTTCTATTCTCCTCTTTTCAGCATGGAATTAACTTTTACTTGCCCCTTTGCAGCCAACGCATGCTGACGCAGCTACCTACAAGTGCTGCCTTTATATAATTGCATTAGGTATTCACTTATTTTTTTGAGTTTAAGCATAAAAAAGTAGCCTAAAAATATTTTCACTTAAAAAGTTGCTGTGCAGAAAGACATGATGCCTTGTTCTCTTTGCGTTTAAATGATTTTTCCTCCTACTACATGGAAAAACTCAATTTTTATATTGAAACTTAAGCCATTTTGGTTGAAGATCGCAGTTAATCCTGATAGATCTGAAATATGCATTACCTTTATGGATGTGTAGAGAGGAATAATGTAAAATATAAATAATAAATATCAATAACATATGAAATTTGCTTAGATTTAGTAACAAATGTGACAGAATAGATATTAAGGTACTTAATATTGACTGTCTGTGTATAATTGATATTTTTAAATGATTTGAGATCAATGTGAATTAAAGATTGCTAAAGCCTGGTTACTTCTAATCCAAACATAGCATTATTAACAACGGTGTTGTAAGATATTATATTATTATGTAACAGTGTTATAATAATAGAAAACTTTAGTGGGGGGCTTTAAGTAAATTGTTAATGATAACCTCATGCATATACTGTAAATCCTGAGTGGGCTCAGCTATGTGTTGTATAATGTGGTATATTAAAGAGAACTGAAAAATAACCAATTAAGTGTTCTCAGTTTTAAATAAACATCGACATAGTCATCATGTTTTTAAAACATGGCCTGTAATGTAATGGCTGATTAACTCTTAACCTGGTACTGTAGGTGTCATTCTATTGCCAATACATATACAAATGGTGAAATGGGGAACTACTGTTCGAAATCTGTTACTGCCACATCACTTACTTTTGTATTTTTTATAACACTGGGTTTCCCCAAGAAACTGTTGGCAGTTATCTAGGTTGTATAAGTATTTATTTATAGTAATGTGACATTAGTACAGCTTCTCCACCCTTAGAAATGTATGCTTTGAATTTACAGGTGGTGAGTATTTGTTCATGTGTTTGTGAAGGTGCATTTTGAAGAAACTTGATGTGATGTCAGTGAGATGTATAATTAAAACCTGTTTCCTCTGGTTGCAGGCTTTGCTGGGTCACACAGATGCTGTGACATGTCTGACAGCATCCTCAGCCTATCACATCATCGTCAGTGGCTCCAGAGACCGCACTTGCATCATATGGGACCTCAACAAGCTGGCCTTTGTTACACAGTTACGAGGTCACAGGGCTCCTGTGTCAGCTCTCTGTATCAATGAGCTAACAGTACGTAGGCTGCTCTGAATTGAATCTCAGTTACAGCTGTTTGATCTCTTATTGTAGTTGTATGAATTTACAGCAACAAAAATACCTGTTTTTTTTCGTCTTTGCTCACAATGAGAGATAAAATTATTTAAGTACATTCAGATGTTTTTGGTTGTCATGTAAAATTTGTGAATAGTATAGTTTACAGTTGCTTTTTCATGTTTTAAAATGCTATTCCACAAGACACCAATACAATATAGCTACCACAGTAATGCTGTATTAATGCTTTGTTCATATTTAATTAAAAACTTAAAAAAGTGAATATATGGGGAAGCAATTAATTTATTTTTGAGGTTGTGTGTTATTTACACTCTGTTTCTGTGTTACCAGGGAGACATTGTATCCAGTGGTGGTACTTACATCCATGTGTGGAGCATCAATGGCAGCCCAATTGTGAGTGTTAATACCTTTACTGGACGGAGCCAGCAAATCCTTTGCTGCTGTGTGTCTGAGATGAACGAATGGGATACCCAGAATGTCATAGTCACAGGACACTCTGATGGAGTTGTGCGGGTAAGAAACTTTTACATTTGTAACCATTTAGTATTTTTTCTGTCATCTACTGTACTGTATGTCCTCCACTTTGTATTTGAATAAAAAGGGAAATTAAGTATAAAAGTGTTGCACAGGAATAATTCCATAACTTTTTCATGTACAGGCTTCAATGTGTGTGTTATTCTCGTGAAACTTAACTGATGTCTCACCGCCATCATTATTAAAGTAATTGAAAGTATAGAACTGATAGTTGGATATAATAATAATAATAATAATAATAATAATAATAATAGATACTTTATTAGTCCTGTGAGATAATTAATAATAATAGTACACAATATAGCACTAGTCTGGACACATGTGAAAATATAAACTTCTGAAGAACAGGTGGAATAATTTTCATATTACATTTTACAAAATAAACTTTTCTTTGCTTCGCACATTGGTATGTGATTTAGTATACACATACAAGGACAATTGATTGAATTGAAAGGTTTCAAACTATTTGCTGAGCCTAAGAGCCAAATAAATTTCCAAAATAAATGAATAATTCCAGATAAATAGCAGAAATTTAATTATTACTCCTTACAAAGTTTGGGGATAAAATACTTCAACTGAATTGTTCGTAGCCTCACACAAATTAATTGCAAATGTGATACAGAATATTAAAGAATCTCTTAAATAGTGTAAATCTTAGAATCTGTCCTTCATTTGGATTATTTCAGGGGTAACCTTAATAATGTTACAGATCATTGAGGTTAAAACATGTTGACACCCTATTTTTCTAGTTTTGGAGAATGGAGTTTCTGCAGGTTCCTGAGACTCCAGCTCCAGAGCCAGTAGAGATACCTGATGTGCCTGACTGCTGTGCAGAAGACAAAATCGGTGAGCTGTTTAGTCCACCATATATCTTTGAGTGAGGGCAAGGCTTAGGACTCGCATATCATAGCAGAATTTACTGCTTTAACGTTTTCATTAAACCTGATTCTAGAAGAAGTAACCCAGTGAAAATAACAAACATGAATACTTCCTTTCTTTTAGTTTAAAAACATCAGCATGCTGTTTCTTTTAAGTGTTAACTGTTTTTTTCTCATTGAAAGTTCCAAACATTTCTGGTGTTTATTTGTGGCATAAATAAAAAACAACAACTTTTTTTTCTTAAAATAAGTTCATTTCATAGGAGGAATGATTGCTTTCTTTGTGGAATGTCTATTGATAGGGCAGGAAAGAGCACTATTCATGATTAATGGTTGCTTCTCTAATCAGAAGGACAAGTGGCTCATGATGATGACAGCAGTGACTCCGATGGAGATGATCAAAGTACCAGTCAGGAAGCCAAGCCACGAGTGACCCACAGCCAGCAGGGCAGCGCCATTCATAGGCCAAAGAGCTCTGTGAACAGGCCGGGTACTTCCTGGTCTGCTGACAGCGGTTCGGATGATTCTCGACGGTGGTCAGACACTCTCAGCTTGGATGAGAAAGATGGCTTTGTGTTTGTGAATTACTCCGAGGGCCAGACCAGATTCCCAGTGCAGGCACACCCACAACCTATACCACAGAGCAGTATACACCCACAGCCTAGTGCACTAGCACATGGGCCAGTAGAACCCAGGCACTACAACAAACTGCGACCAGGTGAGTTGTGCTCCTCATAGTATAATCCACATTACTGTTAAAGACTGAAACACTGGTATTTACTGCTGTAATAAACAGATTTATTTTTTCTGTAAATTAACCTTATTATTGTCTGTAGACCGGAAACGTGGTTACACACTAGTTATATCCTCTGCAATACAGCCATTGTTATTGATACTATAAATTAATGTGTTTATTTTGTGTTTCTTCTAATCTTGAGCAGGCTATAGATGGGAACGGCAGCTAGTTTTCAGGAGCAAACTGACTATGCACACTGCTTTTGATCGGAAAGACAATGCTCATCCAGCTGAAATCACCTCTCTGGGCATCTCAAAGTATGATTAATATTTTTTTTTAAATTGACACTTTAAATTGTTTTGAATGCTTAATGCAAAGATATACTGTATAACATTCAGTTAGTTTCAGTAATGTACAATACAGTAGAGATCCAATTAGGTTCCATTCTTGCAGCAATACCTGCATCAATAAAAAGGTCTACCACACACAGCAAACCATGCACTTGTTTTCTGTTGATACAGAGAACAGTGTGAATTTGTAGTTCCCTCATTTTGTGAAGCTGCGCAGATTTAAGTTAGTGAAAGTGAAACCTAATCATCTAAAGATATGTTATCTAGTCGTCTAAACTTAACACAGGGAGAACATACAAACTCCACACAGTGGAGATAGTACCCCAGGAAGTGTACCCAGGGCCACAGCATGTGAGGCAGCAGTGCTAACCACTGTGCCACCTTGCCATCCCCTCATGAAAATATATCATAATATATAAGCAGTTTAACAATCTATACCTTTTATGTCTTATATCTTAAGTTCCAATGTTCAAAACACCATAACTGTTCATTATATTTATTTTGAACAATTTTATTTTTTTAATCCATTACATAATAGGTTAGGTGTCTGTCCAAAATTGTTAATGAATCCTATGGTGACAGTTTCCCTTTGTGAGTTGTTAATGTCGTAGACGGGTCTCTCCACCAATGTTTTTTTCCCCAAAATGCTCATGATGCTCAAAACACTGATATTGGGGCCAGCTGTCCCAGAAACCGGCTAACCTACCAGTATGTCTTAAGACTGCACCACCCATACTGTAGGAAACCCACATGAACACAGGGAGAACAATCAAGCTCAATGCTGTAAGCTCCTTAGGAGTTGAACATCACAGAAATGCCAATCACTGTACTACCATGCTGCCCTAATTCAGAAATGCTTTTCAATTGAGATTTGTTTGTACTGTGAAGCTTAAGGGTATCTGTTTTGATTACATTTTCTACACAACAGGTAGTGTGGGAAATTTGAGTTGATTTCATTTTCCTTTTCATAGCTAAGATAACTTATAAATTATGTCTTCCAACAGAAAACATTTAAAAGGTGTGTATGTGTGTGTAGTTGTCAGATAAAGATAAAGTTAACATTACACCAGCCAATTTTTTAACAAAGCTAAACTTTGCACTAAACTAAATAAACACTTGAAAAAGGCTTATTAGCTGAAGGTTTTTTTTATTTCTGCTTTTCAGCAGAATGGGATTTACCTTTACTGATTCCTAGATAAACTCACCTTAGGGTATTACAAATATTTCCCCAGATCCTGTTTTAGGCTCCAGCAGAGGGTTTTAATGTGACAGCAACATAGAAATAGATTTTTTCTAAGTATGTGAGGTACAGTGATTATTTTTGTCAAAGTCATTTATAGTAGCATACACCATGACATGTTTGTGATATAAAAGTAGAGGAAGTCTTTTTCTAGAAAGAATTGTTTCCTTTGCGTTTGTGCTGTTCTGTGATCATAGTTCGAAACAAAGGCTCTATTTTATTATCGAAAAAGTCAGATTTGTGCTTCACAGTAGATTGCAGAATGGGCTGGCAATTTATGGTTATTTGATTTCTCTATTTGATTGGAAGGGTTTTAAATAACATTACTGTTTTTATGTATATTTGTAGTGTAATATTTTAGGTTGTTTTTTGTTAAAACTTTGTTGTTTAAGTGAATTATATGGTTAAAATCTGTTCAAACTACAGCACCATTGCAGCTTAGCTGTGTTATGTATGGTTAATTGTGATGGAGATATGATGGGTTGATTTATTTTAGGGACCACAGTAAGATCCTCGTGGGTGATGGCCGAGGTCGGGTGTTTAGCTGGTCAGTGAGTGACCAACCCGGCCGCTCAGCTGCAGACCACTGGGTGAAGGATGAGGTGGTGGACAGTTGTTCAGGATGCACAGTGAGATTCTCCCTCACAGAGCGGCGCCACCACTGCAGGAACTGCGGCCAGCTCTTCTGCCAGAAGTAAGACATTTTACAGTTACAAAAAATTACAGACCACAGTGAATAATAGCATAATAGAATTAAATATATATATATATTTCTAAATCATTGTAATCCAGCACAGAGTTTATTGTTGCAGTCTTTATGTAAAGATTCACATTTATATGCATCCCAGAGTAAAGTACAAAATTTAACTCTTGGCTGTAGATCTTCCATATGAAATATACAGTATACCTGTTACAGGAGGTGCACCAGATTCAATACACCCAGTTCCCTGGGTTACAGAAGGGTTTGGATCCTCAAGACTTTACTTAAGCTAAATCTTGTGTAATTTGGAAACGCACACAACTTTCTTAGTCATTTCTTGAATACATATAGAGAATTACCATTCATGATATTGCAGTGAACCTCGCTTATTTTCCCTAGCTGTGTCTGTGAGTGAGGAAAGAGGTACAGGAGAGCACAACTTCAAACTCACAGGTGTTTGTGCTTTAATGGGTTAAAGGGGGACAGCAATGCTATTTTCATATTTCAGGGTTAGAAAGAATCAGCATTGATGAATGCATTTCAAACTGCAATAAAAGTACAAAATGTACACAGTAACTTGTAAAATTTCCAATTTACATCACAAAATAGTGGAAATGTCCAGGTATGCATAGCGCCATGTTCTGCAATTCAGAAAGAGGCAACAAAACTTCTGGTGATGTGTTGCAGCCTTTTTACATTGTAAACAAACTAGCACTTCAGATCATTTTATACAATAGAAATATTGCCGAAGTTTGACTGACAAATTTACTTTGTTACCGAGATTTAATAACTGGTTTGAGAAATTGCGACTGCAGTTCCCCTTTAACTGGTGTGTCTTATTGTTGGAGGGGGTTAGCAAGAGAGAACATAGCAGCAGCAGCTGGAAGTCCATAAGGCTGAGAAAGAAAAAGGAAACTTCCCCATTTATATATATGCAAAAATAATTGAAATACCCTATAATTAGAATAATTTAATACTAACTATAGCATACAAATATCCAGTAAATAAATCCATTAGGATTGCATTTTAATTATTTTTATTGCTAGTGAATTAAATGTCTAGGACACTTAAATCAAATATGAGACATAAAAAGGGTGCACATTTGTCTGAATTTTACAACCGGCTTTTACCATTTAAATTCACTTGTTATGAGTTGTGCATGAAGCTAACATCCTTACCTTTTGTGTTTGAAAAGCACCTTAAGATTGCAGCTTGACGAAAGGTATGAATTTGAAAAAGTATGTGCTTTGAAAATACTTTCAGTCATTGCATCACAATGATGTGATGAGCAAATAAATTTAAGAAACATGGCCAAATTAACCATATCACACTTTTTTGTTATGTTTTCTTTGTCGGTGTACAGTACCGGTTGCTGTTGGACTAACACAGAAGTGCTTTTTCTTAGAGCTTATCCCTTTGCCCATCTCCTTTCATTTCAGGTGTAGTCGATTCCAATCGGAAATCAAGCGTCTGAAAATCTCTTCCCCAGTGAGAGTGTGTCAGAACTGTTATTACAACCTGCAGCATGAAAGGGGATCTGAAGAGGGCTGCAGAAACTAGCGACCCCCATCGATGAAATGGCCTGGCAGAACCACTGGCATTGATACATTGATTCTGTGCTGTTTTCTTGTTAGGCTTTGTGAGACAGAAAGGAATTTGAATGGAGTCTGGACATTCACATGCATTTATTTGTACTGTGTATAAAGCACTGATTTAGAAAAAGGGATCACCAATTGCATTTAAGCGTATTGTTCCGTATGTGGCAGATAGATGTGATGGGGTAAAAAATCAGATCTGGTGATTTTTGAAAAAGGTGTTTTCCCCATTCATGTCTTTGCTTGGTCTTGCCGTTAATGCTAACTAAACATCTTTAAGGAAACACTGGCTTTTTAGATTTTAGATAGATGGTATATTAGGCCTCCACACAAAACTAAATGAATCTGTTTATATTGTAAATAAATGCAATGGCCTTTTTAACAAAAATAATTAAAACACTTTTGCCTGTTACATAGAAATTCTGACTAACCACTATTCACTTTAAAAAATGAATAGAAGAGTTTAGTCAACATTACTAGTTACAGAATCCCAGGGGGGATAGATGGGGGATTATGAATGTTAGTAAAAATGACCATGTATTGACATATTATTGTGTTTTAAGTGCAACAAACTCTTAGTGTTTGATTGCAACATGTATCATGTTTATATGTTGCCCACAGTATCTATACATCTGCTCATAACTCAATTCACAGAAACAAAACAAAACCTCTCATGTTTCCAGAGCTCAAAACAATATTTACATGGAGTGTGCTTGGGAAACAGTATGTTCACTAAAAACAGCTGGCACTGCATTATATCATCTCAGTGTTTTTGGCATAAATGTTTCTTTAGTTGTATATAGTCTATTCCTTCTATAAAAGCTATGGCCAGGAGACTGGCATGGCTCTTAAGATTGACCACTTTGTTCTGTAGAAAGCAGCTTGAAGAAACATATCATTGAAGGCTGGTTCTTCTCCTTATTAAGCTTATTAATGTGTGAAAGGAAGGAAAATTATGGCAAATATTTCAGTGCAGCTGAATTAAGAATTATGTCAGTGGTACACACAAAATAATGTGAAATCCTGACAGTGATTTTACAGAAGGGTTAACAATTTGCTGACTCTATCACATGTTTTGAGAATGATTTTACTACACCCAAATTAATTTGGCATTATGCACCTACTTGTTCTTGTTCTAAGGAAGGATTATTTGTGTGCAGATTTTATATCAATAAGATGTCATCAGTAATTTATAAGGTGAGATTTCCTTTCTTTAATTCAAATGTTTTTTTCTGTCTTCTGTTTCTTCTTTTTTTTTAAATGTGATTTGTTTTCATTCTAAGCATTTTCATTTTCATTTCCAAAGCAAAACTAATTTAAAAATTGGAAATATAATGGTATATTTTTCTAATACCCATTAAATAGCTTTATAATTAGTTTTGTATCCAGCACACTTTTGAATGTGAATCAGAAATTACACGTTTGGAGATTCATAATGTAAATTTACTCATTGACTAAGATTATTTTCTACATTATGTTTTAAGTGTTTTAAGTGTTGATGCACACAGTGCTGCATATATACTGCCAGTAATTGTGCAGGTTGCCACAAGGAAGGAACACTTCCTTCAGCGTTATGGAACCATCATTATAAAAAGCATTTTGTGGCCTTGGAGAGAAGCTGTTTATGGCAATATTTGCAGATCAAATGAACCCACTGAAGGCTTTGTGAACTTGCATACAGAGGAGTGTCAAATAGTGTAAGTGGTGAGTGTTTAGCAAAACTGGTAAACTTCACAATGTTTGTGTGCGCCCTTCCTTAATGATATTGTTAAATCTTGGGAATTCAAAGCAAGGGAATGTACAAAATAACAATTTTTAGATGTTCACTATATGCTTCTTTGCAAAAAAAGAATAAAATGCAACAAAACATTTTATAATGGAATTTCAGTGTTTCAATGTCTGTAGGGACAAACCTCTTTATAATATGAATTTAGAAGTTACTTATGAGATCAGATATATTTGCTTTTTCCTAAACTGTCATTTTTGTATCGGTACTGTGGGCAACCATTTATTGAAATGCTGCTTTAATGGTTAGAACCTTATTGGATGACTTTGTTTTCTGTGTCATACTTGTGAAATGTTTTCATAAACCTTTCGTTATATGTAATATAAGTAGAACTGTGCATTTTATTTTGTACATTTTAGATGGTAGCCATTATCCCCCTTCTCCGCCATGTAGCGTGCACTCTATTGTTATTATTGTTAGAATAATTAATGTACTGTATGTATATTTAGTGTGCAATTGTAACATCAAGCTGATAGAGACCTGCTGTCTTATAGCAGCTTCCAGAAACTTAATGGTAAACTGTTCTGAGAGTTATTTTGCACCTTCTTATGTACAAACTGTAAGGAACCATAATTTTATCAGATACATTTTTATTTGAGCGCTATCATTTTAATGGACACATTTCTTTACAGTAAATGAACTGTATAAAGTATTTATGCAATTATACTGTTTTTTTTTATTTCAGCAAGTTTTGTTACTTGTTGCATGATTAACACAGCTGACTTTCTGTGTCAGTGCAATGTATATGTTTTATTTTATTTTGTTTCATAAGGCATTAACTAATTACTTGTAAGCCCAGAAAGACCATTATGTGTACAGTTATGATGAGAATACTGGAAAACTGACAGAACTCTGGTGGAATTTTGTACTATATATGAAAAACAACAGGTGAAATCCTTGGGTTATTTTTTTGGTGGTCTTGTGCTAGACTGATGCATTACTACAGTATCTAGCGTGCAATCTGTGATAGCTGAATGTTCATTGTATATTTGTCTTCAGTAAAACCTCAAAAACTAGGATAACCCAACAAAAATATGTAACTATAATGCAATAGTTCTGGTACTAATTTTTTTTTTCAATTAAATTCCTGCTATTTGCCACCAACAGTGTCCTGATTTATTATATTTCAAATGTGTAAACAATTATTTAAAAATGCATTGTGGCATCTTTTTATATGTTTTTTTGTTATTCCTTTTTTATTCTATTTCAGACTTTCCCTTTATGTTTTGGTAGGAATAAGATTCACTATGGGAGCTGAAGATGTAACATTCATATCCTGTAAAAACTCATATATTAATTAAACAGACTATAACAGTATCATGTATACACAATATAATATTCACCCACTTGGGATTTTTCACATTTTATTGTTACTGTATGTAATCCAAATGTATTTATTTGGGATTTTTTGCCCTTCAGCAATTCAGCATACTTCTGTCGAGGTGAAAGAAAAAAATATTCAGATCTTCCTCATTGATGTAAAACAGAAAATAATGGATTGCACAAGAAATCACCCATATACAGTAACACACTTAATTAGGGTATGATACAATCAGTTGCTTTTAAAAGTTACATAAGTTGAATTATGTCCACAATCCTGTGTGCAATTAAGGTGTTTCACATGAATGCAGGTTAAGTACACATATCTCTGGGAGGTCCCACAATTGATTAATCCATCTCCCAGCGAAAACTGCAGTAATCATCAAAACAATGGAATATTCAAATCTGGGATAAGGTAACTGAAGGGTACCAATCTGGGGAAGGGTGTAAGCACATTTCCAAGTTATTTAGTAACCCCAAAGCATATTAAAGTCCATTATAAAGAAATAGAAGATATGGCACAACTATGAATCTGTGCAGAACAGGGCATCCTCAAAAACTACAAAATAGTATTTTAGCACTATTTAGGGAGGCCAGTGTAATGAATATACCTGTGTATAACAGGGATCTCAGCCGCCTGGGCTAGGGGAGTTCTTCTTTAGCTCAGCTGGCAAATTCCACGTTGTGTGACGCCAGAGACCCGGGTTCGCGCCCAGGCAGTGAGGGACGAACTGGCAGGGCAGGAGCAGCAAGGGCGGAAACCCCAAGAACTGTTACACCAGCAAGATCCCTATGACAACTGTAAAGGAATTACTATCCTTCACGGATGAGATTGGAGAGATGGTGCATATGACCAAATTTTTAGGGTGCTTCACAGATCTTGGTAGAATGGCAACATAAAAGCCAACGACAGTCTGTCAGAATGCATGTGGGAAACTTTTGAGACCAAGTAGAGGAAGATTCTATGGTCTGATGAGACCAAAATTGACCTTTTTGGCATCAATACTAAGTGCTGTTGGCACAAGCAGGACACTGAGAACACCACCCCAAGTGTGTAGCATGGTGGTAGCACCATCATGCTATGGGGATGCTTTGTTGCATCAGGGCTTAGAAGAATATCCAAATTGGAAATAGCAAACAAATTGCATATAGTACACAGAAACCTTTGAGTAAAACCTGTTGCAGTCTGCAAGAAACCTACTGTAGGAATTGGAAGAAGACTCATCTTCCAGCAAGACAATGACCCAAAACATACAGCCAAGCTACACTGGAGTGATTTAAAATAAAAAAAGCCAATGTTCTGGAGTGGTGCAATGAAAGCCTGGACCTCAAGTCAAGTTCAGATTCTGAAGCAGTAGTTAAAAATTGCTGTTCACCAGCAGTTGCCATCTGTAAACCAATCCTAAATGGAATAAAGCTTTCTTTTGCCATTTCTCTGTTGAGTACCAATAGGCCTTCAATTTGACATGTTGCATTAATAAAACCTTTTACAAAACATTGAGTTATAATAAATCTTAGCATGAAAATATAAAAGGAAAACAATTAGAGTTCTAATGTTGAACTTGTGTATTTGTAGAAATCTAGTGTAATTAATGCAATTTTAAACTCTTTATCTTATTTAGGACAATTAATATTTATTATTATTGTTGCAATAAAGATTCTCAAACTGTTATCATTGATACTGCCAGTACTGATGTCCCTTTCTGCACTAAATATCTATTTTTAAATCTCTGAGACTATACAATTTAAATTACATTAGTGGTCTGGACAATTCTTGACAATGAAGCTACATTTAATTTAACATTGTCGTTACCAATGTATATTCTGTTGAGAAGCCGTGACTATACATATTTTCCAAATTTTACCCCCCTCCCTCCAACACAAAAAATATGTTTTATTCCTGGATTTACTTACAGTAGGCCTCCTAGCAGTCCAGCACTTTATTAACTGGGAATGTAGCTTCACTCTTGATTACCACTTGAAAACATATTTTATCAAAGTCAAGAGTTTGCTTCTTGGGAAGGGTTAAAGTTGACAGGAGATTGTGAAATCACTGATAGTAATAAACTGTTACCACTGATTTGTATATGGCTGCAATGCAGGGATCTCATATTACACTGCTGTTTCATATTTCTCCAGCAGTGTGCGCAAGCTAGCACAAAAGGGAATCACTTTACAGGCAATTACCTTGAGATTTGAGCACATATGGAAAGAACACGCGATACTCATTTTATTCAAATAGAGCCCATGAGATTTGGTACAGTAGGTTTGTGTACTTTATAAGTTAAATAAAATTTAAAAATTGTATTCTCACAAAACAACTTCCAGGTTTAGCCAAAGTGTAAAAAATGGAACAAATAAAAGGTTAGTGCAATTTATGTTGTATTAATGCAACTGATGTACAGAGATCAGTTAAAATGCTGAAAAAAAATATTTTATTTTAAACTGTATTCTTAGATTAAACATACTTAAAATTTTCAATATATGAGCAATTTGTTGTTTATTGTAGGTATATCATTGCATGTTTTTAAACTTTTTTATCACATCTAATAAATATGACAAGTGTAATTATTAAATCAATATTAATGTAATAGTTAATATCCACATTAAAATATAAAAGAATTGTAACTGGATTATCTAAAATGTTTAGATTTAATAAATTAGTAGAGTAACAAGCAAAGCCTAAACATAAATTAAAGAGATAAAAGAATGAATCTACTTGTTTTGACCATTTCTGAAGAAAAAATACACAAATAATGACATATAGAATATATAAATATTTCTTCATGAACAATCACAATATTGAGTGGCCAGCCTCACAATTCAGAAAAACCTGAGGTTTATGTAGTTGTGTAAATACATTGAGTTAATGTATTATACTTGTTGTATGGATCTAATCTGTGATCCTACACCTGAAGGCTTTGATATAGTTTTATTTCATGTGTATTCTTAGATTGGTAAAAAAAAAGGGTATTAACAGTGGCCCACCAGTGAGGGAGCAGGGTATACAGTACCATTTACGTGTTTGAAAGAGTAAGGTGAAATGATTTATGCCTTGTCACTTCAGGATGAAAGTGATATACAGTAGATTATTAATTTTACCAAAACAATTTTAAAGTAGTAAAGCACTTTGAGTCACTAAAAGCCTAAGTGCATCCAGTTAATGACAGTAAAGTGTGGAGTGCAATCTTTTATATTATTAATATTTTTGGCTTATATGATCTCCATGAAACAGAAAATTGCATCTTTTTTGACAAACAGTTAACACATGTTAACTGTTTATATAAAACATTCTATATGAAGCAAACAAGAAAAAAGGTCCTTAAAGTGTTAAACTAATCATGTCACCCTAATAAAATTCAAATGAAGAAAAGAAAACTCCTTGTGAATCACCTACTCAAAATGCCCTTCTTCCTTGTTCTTCCTTACAGAACAATTATAGAAGGTAAAATAGAGTTAGGTTAAAAGTATTTGGATAATTTTATGTTTTCTAACCATCGTCAGTAGCTGCTTTACCATCAGACAGTTTTAGAGCCTAATCCAGGAAGCACAGGTTGCGGACAGGACACCAATTCATCATAGGCTAACCAGGGGGCAATTCAGAGATACCAATGAATCTGGACAGTATGTCTTTGGACTTGGAGGAAACCCACCTGGACCTGGGGAACATTCAAACTCCAAACAGATTATGCCTCAGGCCAGAATCAAATCCAGGACGCAGGAACAGTGATACAGTATAGGGCCACCATTTTCTAACTTCTGCTACACAGAATCCATGAGTCTGCATTTGACATTCCACTTACTGTACATACCACTGAACACATGGCCAAGCAGTTTATAGTGAGTCATTATAATTATTTTCTGTTTATGAGTCAGCAAATCTGAATTTTAAGGTTTCTGCTTGGATTCATTATAACACAAAACTGTCCAAAGTCTGTAGTTACTCCCCTTGTGACTGGATCTACTGATTAATGAAATATAAATAGCTGTGGAAGTCACAGGCTAATAGTCTAGAGTCGCCACCTGACCCCATAATCCCCAGACACTCTTGAGACTGAAGAGGATTTTAAAATTGCCCTGAAAGTGAAGTAAATTAATGTGCAAATTGAGCGCTTAATATTTAACAAACTATTTAAATTGCTTAATTACTCGGGCATGACTATACAACAGTCCTCTATATATGTGAACATTGAAATTATCTTATTTTAATGATCATTTCCATTGTTTAATAATATAATTGATTAAAACATAATCCTAATTTGCACTGCCTGCCGATGTTACGTACTGTATCTGTAAAATAGTGAAAATCACGTTTATTTTGTAGGCTTTGTAGAATGGTATGACAATGACAATAGTCAGCAGGTATTTATCAAAATAGGAGAAGTTTAGTATTCAATTTACATGTTAATTTAGTACAGTTTCAGGGGAACGCGATTTAAGATCTATCGATATTTTTGTAGTGTTTTGTTAATATTCTAGGCTAAATAGTCAGATATTCAGGTCCTTCATAAACCTTTCAAGACACAAAATAATTTTAAAGTCGTTTACACGGCAGCCGCCTCACAACCATTACACAATAAAACTGCAATCAGTATGTCCTATAACCTTAAAAAATGTTCCTTACTAACACTTTGTAGATTTTGCCTAACTTTTTCGTTTATTGCAATACCATTTTTATGGATGAAAGCAGAAACGAATCCTATACAAAATACTGTACATGTATGCGAAAATACATAAAGCAACCAAGACGTACTGTGAGATATGTGTTAAATTTGCCTGACCAGCTTCTTCGACCAAAAATAATTGATTTAAAGTACACAAGAGCAAAAGCTCAAAAGCAAAAGCAGGAGGAGAAAAGATATCTGTGAACAACACGACCGAAACTGCTGACAGTGATAATCACATGCAGTCGCTCCCTGCTGCCCTCCTTGCTTCGCGTGTCGCTGTGGTGCCTGTGAGATACAGGCCTGTATACTGCGGTGCAAAATAAAACGCACAGTTTCCTGTCGTACAGGAGAGCACTGCTCTCTAATAGGCTTGCGTCAGAGAGACGGAGTGAGGATTAAGCTGGGAGTGCAGCACCAGCCCGGAGACGCTGCTGCGCCTGATACTACTGCGGGTATAAACAAACGCACGCAGTGTGACAGGACGAGAGCGGAGAGGCTGTTTGACAGCTCTTTCAGTTCAATCACTTAATTTTACCACGGTGTTCGATTCGCTGTAGGTCTTTCATGAGACCATTTCATCGGATAATTCAGTTCTAACAAGGGGTATTTATTATTTAGCTTGCACTGCTTTCTGTGTTCCCGAAAGTCTTAAGTCCTGTAACTGAAAATCATCAAGCAATGTCAGAGCTGAGAAAACGAGGTGGAGGCGGGGACCCAGACAGTACAGAAAACATCAGCGACAAGGTAAAGTGTTGTTAAGAGTGGGAATATGTAATTTACATTGCTAAAAAAGTATATATAATCGGGGGAGGATCTAAAACTAGAGTGAAGATTTATGATTTTTAGCAATTCCGATATTGTTTGGGGTTGATTCCAGTTTTTTTAAGCTCCAAACCAATTCCTAATTACACCCTGTGACTGTAAAAGGAATTGGAAATGAAATCGGCTTGAAAGAGGCGTTTAAAATCTGCGATTGACCTTTACCATGGATCCTGCTGTATATTTGATGGCTATTGTACAGTACGTGTTAATGGTGCTTGAACAGAGATGTCCATTGGCTCTAACATACTGTATTGCTGCGGTTACAATGCTCCAATAATTCGTAGTGTTTTAAGGTTTTAACTGCTTGCTTCTAGAAAGCGTAAAGTTGTATTGTTCGTTTTGATATTCATATCATGTTAATACCTAAAAATCCAACATTCCCAAAACGAGGTGTGCTGCAAAGGTTTTCAAATTCTAATTAATAACATAATTGATAAAATAAACATAGTTTAAGGAGCCAAACTTTATTCAAACCTTTGGCAGATAAATTAAATTCCAAAAGTGAAAGTTGTTTCATTTAATAAACTTGTGCTGCCTCGGGGGTAATAGTGAACAGTAAAGGGGACGAGATTCAGCTGGGCGGGGGGGGGGTATTATTTAGGTTAAAGTTTTACTGAGTGATTTTATGAATAAACGCTGTTCGCTGTCATAAACTCTTATTGATTTGAGAGCGCAGTGGGTTAAGGACGCCCGATCTAGCTGAACAGGAAGTGCAGTTCATTTTACAGCGTTACACAGCAGACGTTCACAGGTGTACTACTGTACATGTCATTAAGGAATGGTGTTCTTTGTTTTTAAGTTAAGAACTAAATAAATCGAAACACGTCTCAATGTCCTAACAATCAGCTATTCAGTATTACATATTTACTTTATTAGCTCCCAGAACTTTACTTTAGGCTGTCTTGAGTGTCTTGTTTAACCGGTTTGCTTAGTCTAGTTTTAGTTGGCTTAAAGAGCAAAGGTTAAATGCACTCTCTTCCTTTCTTATAGCACTTGAGTAATCTTTGTGCTAGATAATGGCAATACAACGGCTAGTGTATGGCAGCATAATTAAAAGATACCAAGTAATCTGAAGGTTTGTAAATGCCTGATGGTTTTAGTTTACAAGAAGACTTCAACGTGTAATCAATGCTCTAGAGTCTTATAACACCCAGTTGAGAAAGGCATACATAATACAACAGACAAACACAGTAAGCCTCTTTTGTTTTGGGTTTTGAATAAAATAGTCAGAAGTGTCAGTCTCTTAGAATGGTCTTTAAAACAGCATGATTTCCAAATGTGAAAAAATAGGCTGGTTTAATAGAAAAGCAATTGACTGCAGTTTAAAATGTATTTTAGTTTTAAAGTTGGGTAGTGTTTTTCTTTTTTCTAAATTATGAAAAGAAAAAAGAAAACAATAATGTGTTAAATATAAAGTGATGTAACTTAAAAACATTGAGATTTGATTCATTTTAAAAGCAGCTTTTTAAAAATATTTTGTTTTATATCCAACTTTACATAATTTCTGTTAATTAATGTCAGTATATGAAACCATTGCCTTAATATAAAGTAATAACCATCTATGTTAGCAGTAATATGTTGAATAATAAATATAATGGGGCATGAGCATTTTAGCATTATGTGTTTGGCATATTTGGAAATTAATCTATAAAAACATTTTTAAACACATGGGAATTAATTTCTATACTACAAAGATTTTTTGTTAGACTTGCTGGACTTAAACCCATTTTTGTCATTCTGATTAATATCTGTAGTTACATTAGAATCCATGTAAATACATGCCATAGCTATCCATTTTTTTACAATAAAAATATTCATAGCTAGATTTAACTATTTGCAAATAGTCTGTGGCTCAGTGGCCCTTGAGTTTGAAGCAGTCTTACAATCTGTAGTTTTCTGTTTAACTAACCCCCACCCCAATGATTTTATAAATAATAACAAATATATGACAGAGGATGTGTACACAATCACAATAAACTTTATCAATACATTTTATCCACAAATGATATCAAATTCTGTGATTTGTTTCTAGCACTTAGTAGGTAGTACTTCTTGCAATTAAGAGTATTATTTTCCTTTTGCATAAAATATATAAAATTATAAAATATATATAAAACTACTATCATGCATCTATACAATTACTTGGTGGACCTCAAAAGACAACAGTTATGTAATCATAGTTAGGTAATGAATGTAAACAGACACCTTCATCAGAAAGCCACTTATTCCTGGTAAGGGATTTGGCAACCTGTATACAGGTTATCCAGGAGTTACAGCGCACAGTGCAGGATTAGACTCCAGTGAGCCTAACCAGTGTGTGTTTGGGTTGAGAGGAAACTTTTAACACCTCAAGAAAATGAACGCAAAAACAAGGGGAGCATGCAAACCAAGGGCCAAGAGATGTGAGGCAGCAGCACTAACTTCCATGTCACTGTGCAGCCTGCTAATAAAGAAAAACAAACTACCACAATTTATTTCCATGCTACATACATTCTATGGAAAATAAGTAAATTGCTTCTACAATGGGCAACACTTAACATATGGTACACTTTAAAAAGTTATAAAATCACTGAAAGAAGGCAAACATTATGTACAAGAGATACATTTTGTTTTGCATCTATCAGCAAAGAAAAGCCTGTGAACAGATACAGTCCAATAAGTTCAGACGCTCACAACACTAATAAAAATACAGTACAACAACAGTTCCAGTTGCAACAGAAATTTCCACAGGGTAGTGCTGGGTGTGTTGTAGTATTTGCTGTTCCTCAAGAAAATTTGGGTCTTTAGACAACAGTAAACAAAGCATATTTTAATCTATTTGTGACAGACCAAAATGCAATTTAGAGTTCAAAAACCAAGTCTATTTTATTTGATTTTTTTTCTTCATTTACTGTTTGTATCTGTTTAATACCCTGTTTCCTTCTCTCCAGAAGCACAGATTTATGCTCTGTTCATCACAGGCAGGATTTCTAATTTGTGTTTTGTGGATAGCAGCTTCATATGAACGGATTTAACAGAGTTGTTCTTTAAAAGTTTTATGTTCATCTGTGCAGACCGCATTTGTTTTAAAAAGGGAAAACTAAAACTAAGTCTGTAAGTTATAAAGAGCACATTTTAACATTTTAACGAAGGCTTGTAAACTACATACTGTATGAAGGATCTCAAGGATCATATTTTTTTTCTGTAAAGTTGGTCAGTATATTTCTAAAGCATGACTTTGATCTTTAATGGGTAGGCCAGTAAGAAATAGAGGCCAGAATATTTATTGATGAAATTTGTTATGGGGTTGCGGAAGAACATTGTTTGACATGCATCCATTCATTTAGATCACCACTTTGTGCTGTTTAAGGTTCAGTGCATTTTTTTTTATGTTCTCAAAGAGGAGGAAGAAACATATCCTTCTCATGACAGTTTTCTGACTGAGTGACAGGCTGTGTACTGTGTGTTTGCTATCTTATCCATTGAACAGTGGATTTTGTCGCTTGGCTTCTGAAATGTGCTACATGGCATTCAAAGTCCATGGTAAATAGCTTTTGCTGTCATTGTGCATATACAATGTGCTGTTTGCTGCACAAGTAAGAATGCCTCATGAGGCTTTTTGCCACCTCTGCAAAGCATTTAAAGTGACTGTTCACTTGCTGCACCAGAGCAAGAACTTTCATTAAACTATCATCACACTATATTTTGTTTAAGAAATATAAGAATAAGAAAACACTTTGCATAAATGACACAATGGACCTGTGCTGATTTCATTATGCTGTGTAAGAGTGGACTTTCAGTACAGGGAAGGTTATACAAACTAATTCTGCTAGAGCCTGGAAGATTTGAAATATATCTCTTAGAATATGACTATGAAATTTTATTATTTTCCACTTTAACCTTTATTTTTTTAACATAGTTGCTGTTCAGGCATCTCCCAAGTTACTTAACAGTTAAAGATGCTTTCTCAAGTACAGGTTGAGCTCTATGATAATGGCCTTGTCATGTCACTAGTCTACTGTGACCAGGATTCCCCAAGTGGTGGTGCACAATTGGCTGAGCGCCACTGAGGGCAGGGTGGGACTAGCTGGCCGGGGCTCTCAGTGACACTGTAAGCCTTGCAGGCTCCTGGGCACTCGTAGACATGTGTTGCTGTCAGTCAAGAACACATCTCTGTACTGAACCTGCATATACATGTACATGTTTTGTGGCATGTTAAAAGACGAGTCAGAGGACCCTACCTGCACTTCATTCTCCCCTCTGTGCAGTCACAGAGATTGGAGGGTTTGCAATTTTAATAAATTGAATATTTATGTTATATAATTATTATGTAACATTTATCCTCCTAAAACATCCCACCCACATGAGTTATGCACAGTAGCCATGATGTATGAGCAGCCCCATTATATAAGCAGAGAGCAGGCAGAGAAGTAGAAAACTGCTTCACCAATTGTATCAGAATCTTTCCCTGTATCTGCACTAAAGTGACTGATGGACAGATGAAATGGCTGGAATGAAATGGGAGTTTTCTACATTCCTATGCTGGTGACTCAGTTATGTTACCTAGTTAGTCACACTGAAAGGGACTGAAGCTCATCAATTTAATATGAAACACCTTGAGTTCTGTCACAGTAAATTAGGGATGAAAATCCCTGTTTTTGAATTATTTGCTCATTACCAGGAACTAAAACATTTTGACTACTTAAGTCCAATAACTGGGCCAGTAAATTTATCTAGGGCACGGTAGAAAGCACAAAACCCTGCTGCTGCCCAGAAACAGGTGTGGACAGCCCTATACCTTTTGTTGTTGTTTTTTTCAGTCAACTCAACATTAGGATTTTCAGATAAGGTGTTCAGTTTAATCTGAATCTCTGAAGTATCCCATAGGTATTACCATTTAGTTACATCGTTGTATTTAAGCTTAAAGAGTAACCAGGCTCTCC